GGGAGGAGGCGGAGGCGGGGGAGCCAGACGCTGCTGCCGTGGAGAAGGTCACCAGGCAGCGGAGGATGAAACAGGTCGACATCACGGAGGATGACGCGCCGGTGATGAAGACCATGGCGAAGTTCCCGATGCACCGCCGCATCGCGGTTTTGCATCTGGATGATGGGGACGCGGGCGTGCACCGCTGCATCGCCAACGGCGACCCGTTCATCCTCCGCCCGAAGAAGGGGAAGAGCTTCCTGAAGTCTGTGGCATCTTCACATGATTGATGCTGCTTTTTGAGAGTTGGTAGTTGGTGGGCCGGGCCGCTCCAGTATTTTGAGCTCAGCTGTCAGCTGTTCATCAATGTGATGAGATGGTTCGATACCAACACAAGGCGAAGTCCGAACCCATTGGTGCACATTACACATAATGTGTTTTAACATGATGTCATGTCATAGTTGGGTTGTTTCTATTTTGTTTTGAGAGGGGAGGGTGGTCTGGGCCTGGGCCCAATCTAAGGCATCAGACTGGAAGGCGGCGGAATCTGGACTCAACAGCCTTGTGCAGGGCTTCGCCGCTAAGTTCGAGGAGCACCGCGAGTTGTCCCGCGACAAGGGCCAGCCTGTGCAAAGGACTTCGCTTCCGTGCCCCTCGGATGATGACGCGATCTCCACGTTGGTGCAGGCAGGCAATCGGTTAAGCCATTGTTGATGTACTACATGATGACCAATTTGGCCAATGGCCATCAGATGTCTGATGTGATACTGCCAGATGCTGATGCAGATGCCAGATGCAGATGCCAGATGCATTCAGCCCATCACCGATTCCACCAATGTGTGTTAAGCAACTTGTGTAGCAAGTGACTCACTCCACACTCCACACTGCACAACTGTGTATTGCTGCAGGCGGTGCAGTCGACAATCACACCGCCTGACGACTTCGAAGATGAGTGGCTCACACTGGAGGTCGACACCATGAAGAAGTTCTTTGACACGGGGATGCTTGTTTGAATGAAGCAACCATTTCAAGGCAACCTTCAACCACCGGATGCCCGTACCATGATTTAACATTGGCCACGGTCTGCCACACCCTGTGGCAACATTGGTTTGACCCAGTAACCAACCCCTGTGATGCTTTTTGTTGGCCATTGATCACCTGAAGGAACTTTGGCCATGCGGACCCGGTGCTGAATGAGATGTTCAGGCCTACCTTTTCAGCATTGTCGCACAGCACCTCGTATTGCGGGGTGGAGTCCAACCTGCTGGGCTCGTTGAGGGTTCAGCACACTGGTGGGCGGCTACTTGCGGTTGCCCGACCTTCGGAGGCCCGTTTGGGCCCTGGGTGCCAAGACATGATGAAACTGCATTTGACTCAGTGGCACAATCCATACTGTGTTAAGTACACCATCATGCGATCCATGAATCCATGATGATGCATTGCATTTGCGTACGATTTCGGCCGGCAGGTGGCTGAGTTCATCGAAGATGAGAACATCCCAGCTCTTCTGGACTTCCTCAAGGAATCGGTTTGGGCGGGCAGGGCTCAACTGGTTCAATGGATTTCTTTCATTAGTTCATTTCCCTTTAGTTTCATTCCCTGTGCCGCACAGCGCCCTTTGAAGACCACCATGATGACCCAGAAATGGTTGTTAATGTGATGAACGGGGGTGTCAAGTGCAATCGCAACTACCTCTCGGGATGGCCCAAACAGGACACCACGCCAACCTCGCTGGCAGCATCGCCGGCTTCGGTGCCGAGTTTTGCTGTTGCTCAGATACTTCCAGGGGACGTGGTGTGCTTGCCCTTCGCCTTCTACTTTTTTGAGCGCGCCATCAATCAAGACTCCATCACCGTGAAGGCCCGTATCAGGGTTGTTGCTTCGGAACGCACTGATACAGGACACATGCATAAGTAATGATCCCTGGTAGGCCCTGGTAAGCCAACTTGTGGCACATCGAATCGGTATGCCATTCCTGGTGCATCGAATACGCCTTGCGATGGCTAGATGGCTAGGTCAATCAGTCTTGTATATATTTCCTTTGGTTCAGGGCCAGGGCTAATCCTATTCTCAGCCACAAGCAACGGCGTCAGGCGTCCATTGTGGGCTCTGAGGGGCTAGGGTTATTCATCTTGTTCCTTGTCAGGTGCCTCTCAATTTTGTCAGCGCTGCTCGGATGGACGACTTCAACATCCTCGTGAAGCAGCTACCGAAGTCCGTGCCGATGCAGGCAATCACATACGGGCTGCAACAGGTGATGGCCAATGCCAACCGCTCTTCTGGCTCTGGCAAAGCATCAGCCGCAGCAACGTTGCAGGACACGCAGCCCGCTGGTGAGGAGGCGACGATGAAGATCAAGCATGAGGTGGATGATCCGGCGTTTGCGAAGCAGGCTCCGGAGAAGCAGACCGAGGAGGATTTGGCGCGACAGAGAGCAGCTGAGGAGGAGCAGAAAGAGGAGGATGCGGCGGCGCTGCAGAAAGCAGCTGAGGAGCAGGAGAAGCAGAAAGAGGAGGATGTGGCGGCGCTGCAAAAAGCAGCTGAGGAGGAGAAGCAGAAACATGAGGATGCGGCACTGCAGAAAGCAGCTGAGGATCAGGAGAAGCAGAAAGAGGAGGATGTGGCGGCGCTGCAAAAAGCAGCTGAGGAGAAGCAGAAACAGGAGGATGTGGCACTGCAGAAAGCAGCTGAGGAGCAGGAGAAGCAGAATCAGGAGAGTGCGGCGCTGCAGAAAGCAGCTGAGGATCAGGAGAAGCAGGAGGATGCGGTGCTGCATAAAGCAGCTGAGGAGCAGGAGAAGCAGACACAGGAGGATGCGGCGCTGCAGAAAGCAGCGGAGGAGAATCAGAAACAGGAGGATGCGGCGGCGCTGCAGAAAGCAGCTGAGGAGCAGAAGAAGCAGAACCAGGAGGATGTGGCTGTGGCGCTGCAAAAAGCAGCTGAGGATAAGCAGAAACAGGAGGCGCTACAAAAAACAGATGCTGAGGAGAAGCTGAGGCTGGCTGAAGAGAAGCAGACAGCAGAGGCGGCGCTGCAGAGAGCAGCTGAGGCGAAGGAGAATCAGAAAGAGGAGGATGCGGCGCTGCAGAAATCAGCTGAGGAGAAGCAGAAAGAGGATGATTCGGCGCTGCTGATAGCAACTGAGGAGAAGCAGAAAGAAGAGGCGGAGAAGCATAAAAGGGAGGATGCGCTGCAGAGAGCAGCTGAGGAGAAGCAGAAAGAAGATTCGGCGCTGCAGAAAGCAGCTGAAGAGAATCAGAAAGAGGAGGATGTGTTGCTGCAGAAAGCAGCAGCTGAGGAGAAGCAGAAACAGAAAGCAGCTGAGGATGCAGCTGAGGAGAAGGAGAAAGGAGAGGCGTTGCTGCAGAAAGCATCAGCTGAGGAGAAGCAGAAACAAAAGGCGGCGCTGCAGAAAGGAGCTGAGGATTCAGCTGAGGAGAAGGCGAAAGGAGAGGCGTTGCTGCAGAACGCAGCTGAGGAGAAGCATAAACAAAAGGCGGCGCTGCAGAAAGCAGCTGAGGATGCAGCTGAGGAGAAGGAGAAAGGAGAGGCGGCGCTGCAGAACGCAGCTGAGGATGCAGCTGAGGAGAAGAAGAAAGGAGAGGCGTTGCTGCAGACATCAGCTGAGGAGAAGAAAGGAGATGTGGTGCTGCGGAAAGCAGCTGAGGAGAAACGTGCAACTCAGCAGGCGCCGGCAGCGTGAACATTCGGTTTGAATTGATTCCCCTTTTCCCCTACTACACATCACACATGTTGCATACTACTACTACAAACTACAACCACAACCACTGGGTTTCCAGACTCACTCCATGTGACATTTTGAGGTTGTGTTACGTTCATCTTTTTTTGGGTTCGGGTGAAGCAAGCAGAGGGGCCTATAATCCTATGTTTGTGTGCTTGATTCAGGACATGCATTTTAGGACATACTTTTTTGGTTGATGCAACTTATGCAATGCCCAGTGACTGTGTTGGGAAAATACTTGACTCGGGCGGAGGCAGATGATCCTGATGATGCCCAAAGAAAGAGGCCAAAGCTTCACCAACGTGAAGGGCCTACTGACGAGGCCATATGTGGTAAAAGAATGTTTTGTTGGTCATGAGTGATTCGGTAAACCACGATGCAAAGCCAAGCGTTTTTGTCCAGGCGTTGAAAGCTTTGTCGGTGGAATCCCTGGCGAAGATGACCGTCCCGAACCTGAAGGCCAAAATCCTTGAGCTTTCGGGTGACGAGAGCTTGAAGGCCAAGACGAAATGTATGAAAAAATCTGATTTGGTTGCCATGTGTGCCAACCTCGTTGCCGAGCTGAGCCAGAACAAGAAAATCAATGAGTTCATGTTCAAGCGCTCAGCGTGTGCAGAGTTGCCACCTGCAAAAAAGCAGGCTCTGTAGGATCTGTATGGTGCGGGTACACGACAGTGGCGACCACTGCCGATTGGGTGAAAACATGCGGCGGCTGAATTTGGGTTGAAATCATCAAATGTGCTTTGGGAATATGTAAACTAACATGCTTCGGACCTAGGTTTAGGAGTTAGCCCCAATCCCCGACGAACTCCCGACGAACTGACCATACCCACGAAATTTAGCATGGCAGGCTGTCGAAAGTATGGACCTGAAGTCCACAAGAATCCTCTTGCGTGTGCTGGCAACTGAAGCCAGGGCTAAATGAATCAGCGCTCCATCGCAATGATGGAGCGAAACAGCAAGCCAGTAACATGAGATTGCCCCCAACACAACTGCTAAAATCTGTTCAAAGGCTGAGGCATGCCCCATACAAAGAAACGTTCCTTGCGGGAGCTATCTGCACAGAAACGAAAGTCGACACGCATGGAATGGAAACCTAACTTGACCTGAACCGATGGCCAGAGAAACCAACCCATGAGTCAAGACGTGGCTGTGGCTCAATAAACCGGAATTCCAAAATGGGTTGCCCTGGTAAGTGGAAACCTGGACCAAAATGGACCAGAACCTGCGGTGTGCCCCTGTCTAATTCTGAGCCACACCCATCGCTGAGGCCAGCGGCTCGTCAGCCACTGGCTGGCCCGCTCTTTGCAGAGCTCCGCGAAGCGCTCCTGACCGCAGCCGGGGGTGCGGTGCTTTTTTTGTGAGGGTACCCCCACCCATCCCCCAGTTTCTGGTGGACTTACCGCAAAACCCAAGAGGCCACAATTTCGAGAAGTCCCCCAAAAAGACAGACACCCAACTCAGCCAGGTAAACCTCTGCCAGGTAAACTGCCGCGTCCATGTGCTATGGGCACCCCTTCCGCACCTCCAGGCACAGGGCAGCATCTGTGCCGCACAGAATGGAGGCAGGCACTGAATCGTCGCCTGCGGACTTCGGATTCCAAAGGTTGGCCCCTGGTGCAACTGAAGCAGGTTTGCATATGCTGCCGAAGCTTTTGCTTTCTACCAACTGCCAAATTGTTTTGAGAGGTCTGCCAAAAGAAGGGTCGGAAGCGACGATTAGCATTGTTCCACGGACGACACAACCCGCTTGTTCATATTAGTCAAAGACTGATGCGTTTCCTCCGTCAAATGTCTGCCCCTTCCCAACTGCTGTGCGGTGAGGTCCACTCTGTTTTCTCTTCGGCCGCAAGGCCCAAGAAAACAGCAGCAAGGCTCCTAGGCTACCAGACACGTCGCTTTGGGGATGTCCAGACCGAGATCCAGAGATCCAGAGATCCCCACCTCCCAAGCTCACGTTGGAAGAGGCGGCCCCCACAAGGACCGTGCGTCGCAGCTGCGGGTCGAACCTGGCCAGGTGCAGCTCGGGAACAGGTGATGCGCATAAAATGATGCATATATAATAATCGTATGGATTCGTAAATGTCAACAACCCGTTGGGTTTTCCGGAAATGTACCCAATGCTTGCAACAGACATCACCTACCACGATTCCACAAGGGGGCGAGGGGGAGGGTGCAGGGACACGGCTTGTACCACAACCTCTGATTCCTTCCCCCTTCGAGGGGGGGGGACACGGGGACCATAGACACTGGACCGTATATGAGACAGCGTCAAAATTACTTGTCTGGGGTGTATTCATTTGGTGTTAGGACGTCCCGTATCGTTTTACAGGTTTTGCTTGAAAAGGACGTCCCGTATCGTTTTGCAGGCCGTGGATACGGGACACATCCCTGCCCCCGTGCTTGCTACCAAACGATTCTTTGCGGGGACAGCGCCAACGAAACAGCAACGGAATGGAAGCTCCCACAAGCGGGCGTTCCCCGGTATAAAGCCACACGGCGGCCAAAGCGCAATCCCTGCAAGCAAAGCAACTCACACCACGGGCCGCAGATTCCTTTTAGTCCCCCTCAGACTTGAGGAGGAGGAACTTGCGCTTGACACAGAGTCCTCCTCCAACGGCTGTTGCGCCGCTGCTTTTGCCTAGCTTTGCGCCTCTTCTCAATCAGCTCTCCCCCGTTGCTGGGTCCGCCACGCTTTCTCTCATCCCGTTGCCTCCTCAAGTCGGCGTGCCAGCAAACTCACGCAGTGTTGCGTCAATGTAGTTCCTCACCCGCTTGGCTGCTGGAGCTGCGGTTGTTCGCTTCACACCCAGGGCACACGTGCAGCCGCTTGGGGAGAAAGGACGAGGCTGCGTCCAAAGATGCTTGTCACGCCCCCGCGGCATCGCCGGCGCTGGAGCCGCGAGGCTGGCTTCCTCACCGCGGTGGTCTTCTTCACCTTCTCGCGGGCACTCTTCGCGATCACCTTGACAATTGCTTTTCCGCGCTGTTCGGCTCAGCCTTTGGGGCCGAGGCAGCTCTCTCTATGCGAGCATGCTGCCCCTCCTGGGTCAAAGCTTTCCACTTCTCCTCAACACGCACTCCTCAACCCATCGTGATTCTTCCTGTGTCAGCCCAGCGCCGGCGGTTTGTGGCTGCACGGCTGCGAGGCTGCCTGGCAATTCCTGGCATTAGAATCCTTGCTCTCCAGCATTGCAGTTCTTTCACAAGCCACCCCCGAATGTGTGTCTCCTCGTAACTGCAGGGGTAGCGCTTTGGTGTCAAGTGGGCCACCCCCGACATTTAGCATCCTGCCCCATTGCGGGGGTATCGTCGGGGTATCGTTTTGGGGTATCGTTTTGGTGGTCGGTTTTTTCTCGAAGCGGCGCTGTTTGACAACTGTCTTACTTCCGCTCTAAGGAGCCTCAGAGAAGCGCTGCAGTTTGCTTGCGGCCGAAGAAACGTAACCTCCCAAGCACCTTGCGTGGCCAGCAAGAGGGCAAGCCAGCGGGACATCCTCAGAATGCATAGCTGCCGTCTTGGTTTCCGCCTATGGACGCTCCACCCTCCAGCTCTCGCGCTTTCTAGCCTTTTTCGTAGCTTTTTCATGCGCAGAGTGCAGATGCACGCATTCTTCGAAAGAGCTCGCTCATTTAGTTCCAGTATTGCGCAAGTTCCTTCTGAACTTCGCTGACCAAACGGAGAACTACAGTTGCAACCCTTCTAAACTTCCTTGACTGAACGGAGAACTACTTTTACATCCCCTTCAAAAATGCAAACGCTGCAAGAAAGACTTTTGCCCAACTACAACTCGTAATGCTTTTTGCTGGCCGGCAGTTACCCCTGCAATGTGGTGGACACATGCTAGAAACGTTCGCCCCGTTCAAGCACAGCTTGGTTTTGCCACACGTGTCTTGTCACAAGCCAGCTGGTGCTCCAAATGTGAAGTTCCCATTTGATCCCCCTGCCCTGCAACCCTTGCAGAGGAGGGGCCTAGTTGCAAGTCTCGACCAAGCAAATAAACACATGCTCTAGGGGAACACACAAACTAACAAGACATTTTTGTTTGCAACCAATGCCAACTTGCTGAAGGGGTATCGTTTTTTTGGACGTCCCGTATCGTTTTTCGAGCAACAACGCAAACACAATACGTGCATGAAACACCCCCATATAAAGTACATGACGGTAATTTTGATGCTAACTCATATACATATGCATGTGTATATATATATATTAATGCTCAACCCCGCCCCCCGCCCCCCATGATCTACCTCTGTAGCATAGTGTGTAGCCAAAAAGCTAAAGCCTATGCGGGGACTTTTCAAAGTCGATTTAAGCTGCAGTCAACTTTGATTAAAACTGTGTTTGGAATGGAGTTCCTGCTTGAATTCTCCATGACGACTATTAAAATTTCAGGTTCATTGCAATTAAAGTCCCATTTGGCAAGGAAATACTGCTTAAAGTCGGAATCAAAACAGATATTCAAAAGAAGCGCTCTCCTTCTTCAATTCTATCACAATTCCAAGTTCAACGGGTCGCATTGATATTCTAACTTACATAGTAGCTATAGTTGAATTCGTCCCTTGTTAGGTTCTATTCATGGAATCGATGCTTTAGTTAAAACTCAAATTGCAGATAGAAGTCGAATAGAACTTGTTCCACGTTCTACGAGTTAGTTAATTTCACATCATATGTGGAAAGGATTGTTCTTTAAATTCTCAATCAAAGTACAACTCTTACTTGAATTCTGAGCTTATTAAACTAGTTTTACATTCTGAATAAACTTCATAAGGAGCCTTATAAGCAGCTTTTCAAGATGCTTTACTTGTACAAGGAGCCTTTTGAGGAGCCTTCTGAGTCTCTTACGGAGCTTAGGGTGCTTTCAAGAGCTTTGTGAGGAGCTGTTGGAAGAAGTCTCGTAAGCAGCTTTGCAAGTGAAAATTGGAAAGAGCGGCATAAGGCATGAGGAAGCTTACGAGCAGCTTTGCAAGGAGCTTATGAGGAGCTGGAGAGGAGCCTGGGGAGCTTTACCATGACTCTTACAAGGAGAGTTCTAAGGAGCTTTATAAGGAACCTTTAAAGAAGCTGCATAGCAGCTTGAGTGAAGACTTGAAAGCCAGGTGTTAAGTTCTAATTCAACATCGAACATCAAATTCAATTCTGCCCTCAGCACATGTATTTAAGTTTGACTTGCGTTCTAATCAAAGGGTTGAATGGAGCACCCTGATGGCAAAGGCCACACAGCTGTGAGTTTGAGAAAGAAAAGTAGCGCGTCAGAAAACCCAGGAGAAAAACAGTAGCGCGTCGGAAAACACACCAAGTTCATATATGATTGGTTAATGATATCGGCACGCAATAAAATCTAGCGCAGGAAGGTCACACCCGTAACTGTGGCTCCAAAATGGTTTCATCGTGGCAGTACCAAACCTGCCCAAACCTGCCCAAACCAAGGATAAGCTAAAAACCAAGAAAACCAGGCGAAAACAAACGAAAAACTCGGACAAAAAAACTCTAAGGAGCTGTTTCTTTTCCAAACGTTTGTTGTTTTTGTGTTGTCTCGAGGTGTTTGTTGTTGGGCTTCCCTCAGTTTGTTTTAGCTCTACAGTATCCATTCAAACAGCCGAACAAATCAAGCTTCTTTATATGTTTGCCTTCTGGTATTCACGCAAAACCAACAAAGCTCGAGCTTGTTTGGTTGCTTGAAGGAATAGAGCTAAAAACAAAAAAATGATGGAAATCCAAAAAACAAAAAACAAAGCAAAGAAAAAGGCTTTTTGCAGAATCACAGCTTCTGCTCTGAGTTGTGCTTGGCTGGTTCTGTTGTTTTGGCTGTCTTTTGTGCATGTTTAGCAATTGTGCATCCAAGTACTAATAATCAGGCCCACAAAGGAAAACACAAATCAAACAAACTGTGTCGTTCCTTCAAACCATCCGAACTATGAAACAACACAGTGGTGTGCTTACATTGTTCCTTGGATTTGTAAGTACTTCGCATGAGAGGGGACCAGGAATACATTATCCGTGTATATGCCATGTGTATAATATGTGTGTGTGTGCATGCGTGTTTGCAGTCTGCTTGCGTCAGTTCGTGGGAGCACGGAATCCACGCCACTTAACGTCAGGCCTCACAAAAAGGGCACCCAAAAGGCACCTCGAGGCGAAAAGGCGATGGCCGAAAGTCTGACGCTCGAGAAGGGAGCCTCCTGCACAGCTCCAGCGGAGGTCCTCTCTCCAGGCATACCAAAAGGTTCGAGCTGGAGCCCAGGTGCCGCATTCGCATCTCCTGACGTGACACGTTCAATGGGTACAAATGCGTTCCTTTCAGATGTGCTTCGCACGCACTGTCCTTTGCAAGCGGACCCATTGATTAGAACCCGTTGAACGGGTCCTGAACTTGGGGTCACGTCCATTCTGCCGGAATCCTGGAAAGGCAAACATCCAGAAAAAGAGGCCGGTTCCTGCAAAGAGCGACGGCTGAAACGAATCGTGCAATCCACTCCAGGAACTTTCCACAGCGAATGGTGCGAAGCAGAAGGTCCAGCTGTACTATCAACAGGCATAGCAACCATCGACCGGTCATGTCTGACGTGGGCGATGCAACAATAATGCCACCTGCGTAGTGTCCCTCAAGAAAAGATATGAGCGGTGTGACACCGTCGGCAACAAGGCATTACCTTGCGACCACCGTGCGGATGTGCGTGTCTGTGTCTGTGTGGGTGTTTGTGGGTGTGTGGGTGTCTGTGTGGGTGTTTGTGGGTGTGTGGGTGTCTGTGTGTGTGTGGCTGTGTGTGTGTGTGTGCATGTCTGCGTGTGTCTGTGTCTGTGTCTATGCATATGTATGTGTGTGTAGGTGTATGTGTAGGTGTAGGTGTTGGTGTATGTGCAGGTGCAGGTGTAGGTGTGTAGGCGTAGGTGTGTATGTGTAGGTGTAGGTGTATGTGTGCGTGTAGGTGTAGGTGTAGGTGTAGGTGTAGGTGTAGGTGTGTACGTGCAGGTGTAGGTGTATGTGTATGTGTAGGTGTTGGTGTTGTAGGTGTGTGTGTGTATGTGTGTATGCGCCAGGGTGTTGAAAATGACCTACGCGTGGTGCTTGTACACCATTACACCACTGCATTATTCCAAATGCATCCAAACGCCCCTTGGCTTACCCGCCTGCCTCAATCTTCAGGGGCACGTCTGCGAGCACGCTGCACTTCTCTGGCAAGTCCACAACATCTAGGTTTGCACAGCCTGGGACGTGACGCCCTACATGAGTCTTGGGCAAGGGCGTCGTTATACCACAAGATGTTTGCTACAATGTGTTGCAAAGCTGCTGGGCTTCTTGTTAAAATAGACATCCCAACATCAGCCAGCAAGTATGAGATGTAGACTAGGCAATGAATAGACCTACTACATAAATTGCAAACTGCCTGAGGTTGAGCACAGATCCCATTGGTATCACTATCACTGCAGATCATAGGATTCCCAAAGTTTCAGCATAGGTTCTTCCTGATTCCTCTGCCGCAGCTCGCAGCTGGATGTTATCTGCCAACATGATGAGTAAAGCAAAGCACCGAAAAGATGTTGGTGACGAACAGCCGGAAGCTCCCCCAATTGGCCTCTGCATATGGAACAAGGGGTCCTGGGAGCTTCCATGTTGGCCTGGGGGAGGGTAACTCCTTTCTCAAAATCAACATCTTGACGATTTGCTATGAACCCTCGACTCTTAGAGCGCTTCTTACCCAGAAACTCGTCTGAATGCTGATCAAGCCATCCTTTGGTCAAAGCCTCTTCCGTTCGGCGGCTCGCCGCATTTTCCACGCCCCGCCTGCTGCAGAGAGCCGCAGGCGCAGGGCGTCCAGCTTCAGGCGGTGCCCTAGGGCCTCTATCGAGCGGTGTGGCGTGTGTCCATCCAACGGGCCTTTCAAACCGTTGGAAGACCTGTGAAGATCAGCAAAAGTATGGTAACCCTTGGTATGCTAGCAAGAAACCTCTTTTTTTTTGCAGCACCCTGCCAAGAACGGTGAAGAAAGTGGTCCGGCATGATTAAAAACAAAGATTGCAACCAAATGGAAGACGACTAACACTGCCGATCAACCCTCTCTGGCCTGCTGCGTAGCATTCCGCACACCCTGCAGCCAGTACTCTGCTTCAGGCGCCTGGCGGCAAACAAATGGCTGGCGGGTCTTTTGGGATGGGCGGGGCTCTTGTAGAACTGCTCGATGCATTCAGGGCACTATGGCCAAATTGAACAACATAGACCGTAACGAAACTGCGGGTAAATGCAATTTCGCTTTCCAGCAAAGTCAAGGCATACCAGCAAACTCACCTGTTAAATTTTCCCCTGCGCTAGCACAAGACCAGGAATGGGATAACTTCCTAATCCTGAGTAAGCGCGACGCAAACACCCAAATGGGCCAAGCCGAGATGTGCTACGCTCGTCTTTTCCTCTCCGCTTAGAAGGCTTTCAAATTGGTTGAGATGACTCAAAAGGATGATTTTACGTGCAAGGTCAGGGTAAATTGAAACAACATGAGTTCAGGAAACCGCCAAACACCGAAAAGTTATGCACGATGCAGGTAGATTGTACCAAATATCTACAGCACGGGCTGCGAGGATGCGCAACAAAGGGCAGCTGTCGATGGAACGTTTGGGCGAATGAAGCAACAGACCCTACGGCTAACATGGGAGAAGATCCCCCTGTGAAAACGTGGAGGTGTCCTGAGGCTGCAGGTTGGGAATCCTTAGAACTTCAGATATGGCCCATTTTGGGCTGGATGAACATCCATTTGCCACCTATTTTGATGTTCACCAGGGGTACAGGGTTTTGACCCACAGCCATATGCCCAAGATGAACAGAAATTCGTCCGCCTGGCCTGTGGGGAGCCCAGCTCTGCGTTGCTGCACCTGAGAGGACCAGCAGGCGGTTGGAGCTGTTTGCAACCGCAAAAAGACAGGCCATGCGGCCGCATCCTGCCAAACTTCCAAGAGCCCTCACACATGCAGGAGCGCAAATTCGGGTGTCTCCGAAAGGCTCCAAAGCAAAAGTGTCCTTTTGGTTTCCTTGTGGTTTCCTCCATTTGGGTTTCCTTTTGGTTTCCTTGTGGTTTGCCACAAAAAATAGTTGTTCCACTTCTTTCTTTTTTTCCCCGCAAAAAAAAAAGAGAGTTGTTCCACTTGTTTTGTTTTCACCAAAAAAACAGAAGAGAAAAAAGAAAGAAAAACAAAATCCATTTGGCACAAACTTCCGCCGCCGGTGACTCACTGGGCGCCCGCTCCGCAGCTCTAGGGCCATGGGCTGGCGCATGCCCGGTTGGACCAGGACCTCGGAGCCACCAGACCCCCGTTTTTGGCGGCAAAACAACAAGAAAAATACCGAGCAGACAAGAACAAAAAATGGGGGGGGGTGGAGACAACGAGGTGGGGGGTGTCTCTTTTTTGGAGTTGGCACCCCTTTTTTGGTGGTTTTCAAAGGAAACCAAAAGGTGTCAACCGGTGCGTCGTTGAACCTGGACCCAACAAAAAGACACACCCATATGGGGGTTGATCAAGATTCCATTTGGAGCCATAAAAAAGACTTGTCCCATGGGAAAGATCATCCTTTTCGTGGTTCCAATGGTCATCCCATGTAAAGCACCAGCGGCAACAAATCCCAGGGCCCGAAACAGGAACCCGAGTTGGCGGTTTTTGGCCCCGTCGCCACACGAAGTCGGCCATGGGCGCACGAGTCGGCCGACCCCACCCGACGGACCCCCTGACCCGGGCCCGCGGCCGCGGCGGCTGCGGTGGCCACAGCGGTGTCGCCCAGCAAGGCGCCCACGAGCTCCCGGCCTCAGCTCGTTGTGTAACTGCTGGGGAGATCCTGAAAAAAAAAGTCCGAGTCCGATCGGCATCGGCTTTCCTGGAAATGGGTGATGCGGATGGGTGGATTGCTGGTTTGGTGGTGTGGTGGTTTGGTGGTGTGGTGGTGTGGTGGTTTGGTGGCTCTGAGTGTTGGTTTCCAAACCAATGAAGGGTTTAAAGACCCTAGTTGCGGCTTGGTCCTGGGAAGCCTGAATTCCCTCCACATCAGCGATTTCTTCAGCCACCACGTGGGTGTGCCTTTCTTCCGGAGGAACCCCCAAAATGGCTTTGGCTTTCCCTTCGGCTTCCCTTTAAGACCACCCAAGACCGTCACCTCGCACCCATGCTGCTCGCCCCTTGGACTTCGGCGCGCGGAGATGCCACCCAGCAGGATGCATTCGGGGAATCGCTCCATGAGCTCCCGTACCTCGTGCGGCGAAGAATGGAAGCCCCCAGCAGCCCCCTGGAAATGTCGGGCTCAGATGTGGGTGTGGGTCAACATCAAATCACCAAAAAACCGCAGATGTTGGTCCGTGCTTCTATTTACCAGGGCGACCCATTTTGGGGTTACCCTATTTTTTGACCCACAGCCATGTTTAGACAAACTGCCCCGTCCCTGCATACGGAAGATTCGGCTGCCTCTCCCCACCTTTGAACTGTTCTATCAAAAGGAATCTAGCATTGGCTTTTGTTTAATGTGCCCCGTTGCGGGCATCGTGCTGGAACGTCAACCATTGCGTGAGTCTACCGTCCCCCACCATAAAGCAAAAGGTAAAACCCCTGGATGCAAATGCAGCCCCGCGCTTTCCACGACAAGCCAGAGAGTATGATGCTTGCCCTAGGATCTTGAGAAACCGCAATAGAGGAGACCTGCTTCTTGCTCCAAGTCACCTGTGCCACAAGACAAAAGGCATTGCCACCGCAACAGCTATGAGCGTGCCACGTCTCAATGTGAGGCCTCATTCTAAATGACGGAAGACCGCTCTGCTGCGGTAGACGCCACTGAACTGAGTGCCGTCCAAGTTGCGCCCTCCACATCACAAATCGCCTCCAGCTGTGATCGCACCTCGCCTCGGCTCCGTGACCGGAAATCGGAACCTCCATCCGGTCTCGAACGAGCTCACAGGGAATCCACTGGTCACTGCGGCCCAGTTCGAACGACTGGTGGGAATCGGCTTGTCAAACATCCAAATCCCGCCCCAAAGTTGGCAGCACAAACCAGCCCCGCGAAAGAAACGCGGCCAGAGCCGCTCAGCGCCCAGGCAATGCCACCCGTGGCACTGCGCCGCACGCGCTTCGCCTGCAACCCAGGTCCATGGGCTGATCGCACCTGAATCTAAGAGGACATTGGTTTGGGGCTTACAGTAGCCCCCAAGAACATCCGGTTAGACTCAAAATGGAGGAACAAAAAGAGGGTGACGGAATCCTGCAATTCGTGCCAGCATCCCTCTGGTTTTTGGATAATCAATGAAGCGACGAGGTTACTGGTATAAATTGTCCACCATCCTCTGTGCCATGATCTCAACCTGCACAGAGCACTCCAGCCTTTGGCTCGAACAGGTTCGCTCGTGCCGGAGAGGGCGCCGCAAGCGGAGGCCCTGGTGCGTTCCGAGCACTTGTCCGCTAGCCGATATCAAAGTACCCAGGAACAGTGTGTCGTGCAAAACACTGTTTCTCAAACTGCGTCTAGTCGAAAACAAACAGGCTCTCTGCAAGGTCAGCTTGCTTGCCCTTGGCAACATGACCACGCCAGCCGCCAGCCAAGCCGTCTTCACGCCAGCCGCCAGCCAAGCCGTCTTCACGCAACCGTACTGTTGTCAATGATGCTTTGTTGAATCCCTGGGACGTCAGTGCAAAGTCTGTTGGTCTGCTTCTGCCGGACACCGCCGCACCACGCCTGGAGCGGGGGACTCCTTTGGCCGCTTGATCTCACCCGGCTTGCGCTGGCTGATCTCTTTCTTCACCTGCCGCCCGGGCTTTCACGCACAGTATTTTCTAGGGGGACACTCGGCCCCCTACCCGCTTCGGCGGCTGTTCAGCAGGTCCTCCGCAGGCACGCGGTTGCTTCAACGCACTGCCATGTCGCGGGGTACAGCGCACGCGCTGCGAGCCAGCAACCTTGCATGCTGCCTTCGGAAAAAAAAATGGAAAAATACCACCTTACAACAAAGTGCTGGGAAGCCGTCTTCATCCACCCTCAAGCTGCAGACAATCCCTGCACCTCTGTCCTTCAGCGGCTGGCGGCACTGGCTGGGGCACCTTTGCCTTTGCCTGTGCCATCTCGCACTGCATTTACTCTTTCCAATCGTGAAGGTCCGAACTCCCCGCACCAAGTGGGTGGATTCTGCTTTTCAACGGCCGAAACCAGCGCGTGCTTGCCCCCGCCCGTACCTGGGCCTGGGGGTCCGTCTGGACACCAGGCTGCCCAGGCTGCCCGGGCTGCCCGGGCTGCGTGCCACGCTTGCCCATGGCCACTGGACGGCGTCTGCGAGATGTGCTTCGAAAATGCAAGCGGAACGGTGGTCGCCAGTCTGGGGGACTGCAACTGACATGAACTTGAGACAATATTGTGCTGATCTCCCATTATTTCATTGTGATCTCCTGTGCCCTCTGGAGCCGCGGTTTGAACCCAAGGTCATTCACAAGCAATCGAATGCACTTGGCGCGTTTTGCAGAATGATGCTGACATCGTGCAAGAAGCGGCGTGGAGGCAAGGCGCGCTGGTGCATCTGCATCTGCATGTGCATCTGCATGTGCGCGTGCATGTGCGTGTGGTGCGCGTGCGTGCGTGTGCGCGTGAGCACGTGAGTGCGTGTGCGTGTGCGTGCGCCTGTGCATAAAGGATGGCAAAGGGGACAAATGGGCCCAGGGATACAGGGTATTCTCAAGAACGAGCTCATGGACACTCTGTGGACGGAGCAATTGGCGGACTTATGGACAGATCGCTAGGAAAGGGAGGGAAAACATGGACGGTCCGTCAGCCCTCGCAGTGGGCAGCAAGTGTGCTTTTGTTGCAGGCAACTTCAAAGGTAAATCATACGGCTAAACAGTCTAAGGGGCTGCCTAACAAACGAGGTGCTCACAGGCCGCTGCCGGCGCCGGAGTAGGCGCCGTAGAAGAAGACGGACAGGAGGCCAATGGCGGCACCGCCCGCCAGGAGACCGATGAAGACCAGGTTCAGCCTCTGGGGCTCACCTCCCGTCGCGGCCATGCTCACCTCCAGCACGCGGCCCTCCTGGAAGGTGGGTGCCTGAGCCAAGGCTCCCGCCTCACGCTGCGTGCTGCCGCGAAGTGCCTGAGGAGCGGTGAAGCTCTCGCCCGGCAGCAGCATGTAGGTGGCGCATGCCACCACGGCCAGCACCAAGAGGCTTGAGCTACGGGCCATAATTGCAATGGTGAGAGGGCGATGCTAGCCGGGCTACTGCAAGCGTGCTACAAGCTTGATGCAAACACAGCCATGGCGTTCACATTTCTGCCATATCGTGCCATTCGCTGGAACCATGACAAGCTCTGACACTCATTCACCTATGAACAAACACCTCGTTTTGAGAAGCCACGCAATCAATGGAGCCGGGATCCAATGATTTTTTTCCACAGTCGCACAAAAAGGTGATTGCACCGCCTCAGGCACCCGTAGCGGTACTCAAACGAGAGGCCAATGACGGCCTGCAAGGCACCATCGGTGCGGCAGCCAATTGTTGGGCATGTTCTTGGAGGTCAATCCAAAGCAAACGCTTTTGTGCATTGGTTGCGTTTCCGAACACCTTTGGAAACAGCTTTGGGGCATGTGGCATTGACGAACAAGGCTAAGGAATTTGTAAGAATAAAGGCCTACATGTGCTTTATGATGTGTTGATGCGAAGCTGAGCATTCCTGAGGTCTAAAAAGAAGCTTTACTATGGCGTCCTGAGCCCTACCCACCATTCATGTCACTAGCACGGACGCCATTCACACAACTTGGCCATTGCATCGGTCCTTCTCGCAGAAAAGTTGTCCAGCTTCGACTCGGCTTGCGAGGTGCTCACAGGCCGCTGCCGGCGCCGGAGTAGGCGCCGTAGAAGAAGACGGACAGGAGGCCAATGGCGGCACCGCCCGCCAGGAGGCCGATGAAGACCAGGTTCAGCCTCTGGGGCTCACCTCCCGTCGCGGCCATGCTCACCTCCAGCACGCGGCCCTCCTGGAAGGTGGGTGCCTGGGCCAAGGCTCCCGCCTCACGCTGCGTGCTGCCGCGAAGTGCCTGAGGAGCGGTGAAGCTCTCGCCCGGCAGCAGCATGTAGGTGGCGCATGCCACCACGGCCAGCACCAAGAGGCTTGAGCTGCGGGCCATTGCGATGGGAGTTGGCTCGATCACGGTACTCAGCTGAGCCTTCAAGCTGCAATACACAAAGGCCAAAAGCTATGACCTTGCTGGGATAGCACCATAAGCTGTGTGTGCCCCTCATGCGTTGTTTCAGTGCACGCCTCATCTTGGAATGCCCTGGTCTAAAGCTGCATTTTGTGAAGCTGGCTTCAGGAAAATCATCTTAGCCTCAAAACTAGTGTGGGTGGTGCTTGGCCGATTTCTTATATAGACCTTGCTGTTGCGATTTTCTATCATTCAGCCCACTTGCTGCGATTCGATGGGCAAGTGACAGGGACATGATGCAATGCTGTTCTAAGTTTCAAGCATGCATCCACTGGGTACCTTGAACTTTGAAAACGGAAAGCCAACGACTATCAAAGAACCCTGCGCGCAACGCTACGTTTGCCGATGAGTCAGGATCCTCGTCCGCACCTCAAGGCGACTCTTTGCCAAAAAAAGCAGGGCTCAGGCCCATCGTGACTCACAGGCCGCTGCCGGCGCCGGAGTAGGCGCCGTAGAAGAAGACGGACAGGAGGCCAATGGCGGCACCGCCCGCCAGGAGGCCGATGAAGACCAGGTTCAGCCTCTGGGGCTCACCTCCCGTCGCGGCCATGCTCACCTCCAGCACGCGGCCCTCCTGGAAGGTGGGTGCCTGAGCCAAGGCTCCCGCCTCACGCTGCGTGCTGCCGCGAAGTGCCTGAGGAGCGGTGAAGCTCTCGCCCGGCAGCAGCATGTAGGTGGCGCATGCCACCACGGCCAGCACCAAGAGGCTTGAGCTGCGGGCCATGATTGCGATGGGAGTTGGCTGCGCGGGTGGCTGGACACTCGCTGGGGCTTTGAGCCTTCTGAGCGAGCCACGCATCAGCTTGCATGCATCAATAGGAGAAAGTAGAATGAAAGCACGCCCTACTCACATGTGCTTAAAAATCATATTTGAGCAATCTCAAACATAAAGCACCAACAATGCCCATGCCATTTTTGCAAGCATCAAAGCGAGCCTGGTAGGGATGCTTTTCTAGCCAGAAAGCCTTTGGTCAAGATTCCAGGTTGGTCTCTCTGGAGAATGAAGGTTTCCACAAACACAAAAACTACTGACAAAAACATGCTCTCACAGGCCGCTGCCGGCGCCGGAGTAGGCGCCATAGAAGAAGACGGACAGGAGGCCAATGGCGGCACCGCCCGCCAAGAGGCCGATGAAGACCAGGTTCAGCCTCTGGGGCTCACCTCCCGTCGCAGCCATGCTCACCTCCAGCACGCGGCCCTCCTGGAAGGTGGGTGCCTGAGCCAAGGCTCCCGCCTCACGCTGCGTGCTGCCGCGAAGTGCCTGAGGAGCGGTGAAGCTCTCGCCCGGCAGCAGCATGTAGGTCGCGCATGCCACCACGGCCAGCACCAAGAGGCTTGAGCTGCGGGCCATGATTGCGATGGGAGTTGGCTGTGCGGCTGGCTGGACACTCGCTGGGGCTTTGAGCCTGCTTCTTGTGGATATGCATCCATGCATGTCAAAAAGCATTGGCTGACCTTGCTACCCCGCTCTTGCACATCCAAAGCAATACAGAAGGGATTATCGTAGGGAACAGTTGCTATTCAACTGGGTTCAGAGACAATTGCTGGCATGTGAGGCTGTGGTGCATTTTACTCTATGAGTTATGAGTTGAGCTGTGGAATCGCCCAGTGCAAACTGGCATCAAGCCACTGTAGATGCATCTTTGTTCATCACTTCAAAAATTGAGTGTCCACAAATCGCGAACTGCGAAACTCTCACAGGCCGCTGCCGGCGCCGGAGTAGGCGCCGTAGAAGAAGACGGACAGGAGGCCAATGGCGGCACCGCCCGCCAGGAGGCCGATGAAGACCAGGTTCAGCCTCTGGGGCTCACCTCCCGTCGCGGCCATGCTCACCTCCAGCACGCGGCCCTCCTGGAAGGTGGGTGCCTGAGCCAAGGCTCCCGCCTCACGCTGCGTGCTGCCGCGAAGTGCCTGAGGAGCGGTGAAGCTCTCGCCCGGCAGCAGCATGTAGGTGGCGCATGCCACCACGGCCAGCACCAAGAGGCTTGAGCTGCGGGCCATGATTGCGATGGGAGTTGGCTGCGCGGGTGGCTGGACACTCGCTGGGGCTTTGAGCCTTCTGAGCGAGCCACGCATCAGGTTACGAGACTGCATGCTCCAAACATGTTGTTTTGCTGCAGAAACTGAATCAGCCTTTTCAATATCAGTCTGTCAGACCTTCACCTTGGTGCCCAGTCTTCAATTGATGTGCCGTGGTTTTCCTGGACACTCTGGATTCCACGCGAGCTGGGCCTTATGCACAGCGATCGGAGAAGTGCTGCACGCTTGGCCTTCCATCTGCAATTTCGGAGCCCGCCCGTTGGGCAAACGCGACCAGCGACAAGCGCCCGGCACTTCATGACCCGCACAGGGTGCAAACGGTGAAACGGTGGACGGCAGGCAGTGGTGCCCTTCAACGTCAAAACTTACCTGGCCATGGGTCAAAATCCGTACCCCCAGTGAGCATCCCAATCCCCACCAAAATAGACTAAAATTGGTGGTGCAGCTACCCCAAAATGGCACCATTGGTTTTGACCCACAGCCACCTGTCGGGAAAGATTCTGCTCGAACACAATTTCATAAAAGCCAGAAGAAACTTGATTTAAAAGCGCCACGACTGCCGAGGGAAAATGCAATCCTCAGTCTGAGGTCACGGTCGCGAAATGCTTTGGGTATGACTAAATCACACCTTTCATTCGATGCGACGGCCCTTTGGGCACTGCAGCGACGCAGCTTCAGCTCTTCCGGTGCAGCTTTGAAGAAGCAACATACGAGAAACGTCCGAACAGCTAAGCCTGGCAACTGCTTTTTGCTGGCTGGTGTCAAATTTCTGTCAGGCAAACAGTATGCACTGCTGTCACCGCCAAACTGCTGTAAACTTTGACTCTTTCTCTGGCTCCTCGTTCCAGGCGACACGAGACCTGGGGGCTGTAGCTTTGCCACGTGTTTGGGCAGGGAAATGCGCAACTCGAATGTCCTCCTTGATTGAGAGGCCAAGGAAACTGCAAGATGACATGGGCAAAAAGCGGCTGAAACCTGGCAAAGCCTTTCCTCAAGCTTTTGTCCCCACTTACTTTGTCCCACTCGGCAAGAGCAGTCTTGCAAGCGCGTGCAGGGAAAAGACCCATTGGGGCTCGGGGTTTGCGCCTGGGGGTCCTCTCTGGCTTCGGCAGGGCCAAGGGCGACCGATCGAGGGAGAAGTCCACCTGCGACGGCGCCTCCCAAATCGATTGGACCTCTGGGACCTGATCGATACCTTCAAAGCTGCGCGTTCGCCCTCCGATGCGCGTCGCAACTCCCACAAAAGGATGTGAGACACTGCAAGATCTTACATGGTCTTTTGCGGTGAACTTCAGTAAAACCCCGGGGTGGTGGACGTGTCTCCGGGCCCAAGCTCGCGCACCGCTCTGCCCCTGGCCTCCGAGGCACTCCGTGTGAGGTCGGGAGGCAGCTTCCTCAGGCGGAAGCTGTTTCTTTTTTCGTGTGGCAAGACCGTTTGCTCATCCGAAGCTGGTTTCCCAATCGATGACGAGCCTTTAAGGTTGACTTTAGGTAGTTGAGATAGCTTGTCCACAGCTTCCGCTGTTTCCCTCTGAGCGCCATTGCCCGCTAGACATGATTGCCGACTTGGGAGTCCGTTGTCAATGAAGTTGAATCAGCTCTTCTAGGATTGCAAGCTACTCTGCGCACCATGAATACCATCACCCAAATGCAAACTGCCGCTCCCTTGGGAATGTCAGCAATCCTATCGACTTGAAGGTGCTTTGGCTGCTTTGGTCTGCAAGTTGGGGCCTTGGAAGGTGGCGACTCAGACCAAATCACACAGTCCAGGTGACTCAGATCAAAACCGATCGGCATTAAAATGGTCCGCCCAGAACCATGTAAGGAATCAGAAGGGCGGCCGCACCCATTTGTGGTGGATGCTCCTTTACTAATCTTCACCAGCCCGGGTTTTTGCTTGCGGCTCGGGTGGTCCTTAAAACCAAGCAGCCAGGCGCGGATGGTGGTCTCCCGCCCGCAGCTGACGCACTTGGGGCCATTCCCCGGCACCACGAAGGAGCGCGTCTTCCGGCGGTCCAACGCGCGGCGCAGGTTGCACTCCAGGTCCACGATCATGCCCTGGGCGGAAGAAAGCTAAAAAAAAAACGCACCCCTTGGATTCCGAGGTTCCGTAGGATCCTACCACTCTGTCCTGGTGTGGGCAGGAGTCTTAGTGAGCTTTGTTCTGGACACATGTTGTCTCCTTGCTCAATGCCAAATTGAAGCAGCGTGCTCACACGCAGCCTGTTAGCCTTATTTTCCCACTCAGCCCGTTGTCGGGCTGTTCGATATCACGTAAATTCAGGTAGATCAGTTCTCAGGGCCTGTTCCATGCGTTTACAGCATCCTTGTTCTGAGCGATGTGCAAGCTGCAAACTTCAATATGCCATTCCGGGCTTCTTGGCGTGAGATGAACAAAGAGCTCTTATCAAAAGAGTGCATTCAGCAAACAGAATGGAAGACTGGAGTTTGCAGGATGCCGGCTGCTGGCTGCCAGCCTTTGTCCTTGTCTCAAGCCTCCGCTATGACCGCTGGACTCAGGCGCCTTGAGCGCGTGGATGTGCTTGTCCTCGGCGATCTCCCGCTCCAGCACGGCGATCCTCTCGTCCTTGGCCTCGTTCTCCAAGTCCCGCAGCCGCTGCAGGATCTCCAGCTCCTGAACTTGGACCCAGATGCCAGTGGATTTCCATGGGGAGAAAAGGGCCCTGTTTTTTTTGCTGGAGTTTAAAGGAACCCTTCCCCAAACAAAGGAAAAAAGGGCACTGGGCAACAGAGTAGACATGAATGGCTGTCCACGGCCAGGCGTGCACCCAGCAGATGAAAGAGACGGCTAGAGAAGAGACGAATGGAGGTACAGCATTCTCTCCTTCATGTCATGTCCTTATCTCGCTTCTCTATGTTTGTGTTCATCTCACCTTCACTTATATCTCTCCCCTCTCCCCTGTCTCTTTCTTCCTCCACCATTCCTTGCCCAAGAGATCAGTAGGGGGGGAAGGGACAGGGATAAAGGACAAAGGATAAGAAAGCCCTTCCTATTCCTATCCAAGTTCCATGGACGATTCAAAATGATAGTAATGATAGAGACAAGTGTTAAAAAAAAAAAAAGAGATGGCATGCTGTCGTTCTGTTTCAACAGTATGCCATGGCAGATCTATCTTCTTCACTCACCTTTCCATCTTCTCTTGACCAAATGTTAGATAAAGAAGCATAAAGCTGGCAAGGAATAGGATCATGGAAGAGCAGGAGGAAAGCCATTAAGAATTCTGATGATGTCTCACCTATGTCTCTCTCACATTCATCTCTTTCCCATCCTTCGATCTCCACAGACTGGCATCTGGCGGGTTCGCTACATGTGGGCAGTGACACCCCATGAGCTATCCTTTGTTCCCACCGAGCACTGATGCGCAGTTGGGCGACCCCTCTTCTTCCTTATGCGTGGCGGCTGGTGGATGCATTGAAGTCCAGATTTCAGCACACATTCTGAATCAAGCAAGTGGCAAGCGTACACGGGCGAGCATAGTTTGGTGCTTTGAACTGTTCAAGCTCGTTTGCAACTCGTTTGCCTGGAAGTCTCCGAAGGAACTTTACCATTGCGTTGTCCACTCCGTCTCACTATCTCTCCGCAAACAAAGCTGGTCTCTGCGCCAGTCTGAAAGCTGGAGCCACAAGGAAGAAGTTGGTCTTCTCTCCGCTGGTCGCGGCATTCGGATCTGCACGCTCCGTTGAAACCCAGTCCGCTGACACGACCGAATCGACTCGGAGACTCGCTCGATCCTGGGCGCGCTGCAGCCGCAGCTGCTCCGTCAGCGCCGCAAACCTCAAAACCCCCGCCCCTGCCAAGGTCCATCCCCTTGCAACAAATGAAGCTCTACCACAAGGGCTACCCAAGGAATTGAAGGTATGACAAGCGGAGACGCCCTCCGAAATGCGCTTTTTGTTGGTGGGGAGAGGGAAGCGTCTCCAGGCCCAAAGGCCCCAAGGGGGGGGGGGAGGGGGGGGGCAACTCTCAAGTCCAGGCCGCTGCCGCGCACTGGCCGCCACCAGCTCGCGGCGCACCAAATCCCCCTCCATCTGCTCCCGCACCACCTCCATCCTGAGGGGGGGGGAGGGGGGGAGGAGGGGAGAGGAGGGGAGGGGGGGAGAGGAGGGGAGGGGGGGCAACAAATGGAGAGGCTGGAGGGGCTGGAAGAGAGGCTGGAAGAGCGGCTGCAAGGGTGGGAAGGGCAGGAAGGGAGCGGAGTCTTGGAGGGGGATGGTGGGTAGTTGTTTCATACTTGCAACACCCCTTGCTCTCCTGAGTTGGTCCATGAAGTTCATGAGGGGAACCATTTGCCGAGAGCTCCAGGTCAGCTGCTGATTCACCGCCTCCAGCGTCGCCTTGCAACTGAGCATTCAGACATCTTCGGGGGTCAGTGGCTTATGAGAGGTCTATTCTCAGCTTCCCTCTATATTTGTGTCTTGGATTGGTGGTTTCATGGTTGGGGAGTGGTTTCCCATTCACCCTCTGCGAGAACCAGGGGTTCTTATCCCCAAACCACCAATCCAAACCATCAATTGAGTGTTACCTCATATTCATGGTATCTCCAAAAACAAGATACCATCTTCGCGCCGACTTGCGGGCAAACCCGGCAAGTTGAGACTCAGAAGCAAGGCTGTTCAAATTGACAGCTCGACCTCCCCGGATTGGAACAAGCCAATTGTATGACAAGTGAAACCGGCTTTTGCCTTGTCATGGTCACTAGGCACAACCACGCTTTACACTGTACGGCTAGAGAGCAAAGCGCACGAATAACCCACGGCTACATCGGACTAACCGCACAGCTACACATCCCAGAGAGCTCAGCACATTTAAAAAACAAAAAAAACTTGCAAATGAAGAGGGCACTGGGGACAACACTCCCATTATTGTCCCTTGATTCCTGCGCTCATTCACGTACACAAACGCATGCAAAAACGTGCCCAAACATGTACTCCCTTGACTGGTGGTTGACTCAGGCTGGATTTGTCTTTTTTGTTCCTCGTGTCTGTTGCTAAATTTGTATGGGGGCACACTTTGAACTTGCAGCAAACAGGTGGATACGGGATCATTTGGGAGGCGTTTCTCATGGGTTCGAATCATCTGCTACAATCCCTTGCAAATTGAAGCTCCGGATTGAAATCCAGGGATTTCAAAACCTTCTAAGTTCAATTGGATCAGAAACGTGGAGACTTGTCAAAAAACTCTTGGATCCACAGATACTAATCTAAATCCTGGATGTTGATCCCTCAATCCAAGATCCAAGATGTCCCGGAAACCATGCCATACATGCTACCCACATGTGCTACCACAATTTGCACAAGGCATCTGTCTGAGTAAAACAAATTACACCAGCATAGACCCCAGATAGCGAAAAACCAGGCCGATGCTTGCACACCAGCACCTCTAACAGCACCCCCCGAAGAGCGCCACAAACAGCACCCCCATCGCAAAAATGCGCCCAGCACCCCAAACTGCATGCCCCAAAAATGCGCCCGTGCCGTCACCAGGCCCCCCCATAGTCACCCCAAACTGCTTCCCCCCCAGAACCTGCCATCAATTTCGCAAACACGCGCCCGCACCGTCACCGGCACCTCAAACAGCACCCCAAACAGCATCCCCAAACAGCCCCTGCGCCAGCCCGCCAATCTGCACGCCCCCTAGCACCCGGCCGTCAATGTCGCAAATCACGTTCCCCTCTTTATGAAAAGTTAGAACCCCCATAGCTTTCAGCTATCTGGAAAAAATACACCAGCATAGACCCCAGATAGCACACCACGGATACGAACCATGACGCAGCATTATCATGATGATGTAGACCATGATGACACCACAGCCACGAAACAAACGCGCAGACAACGTCCTAATGAGATCAGCAACATAATGATGATTTTGAGAGCAATGGCAGGAAAAAGCAAAACGAGGTCCTGATGAGTTCGACAGCATCGTGATGATGCGAACAGCATCATGATGATGCGGACAGCATCATGCTGATGGTAAAGGCAGCATCATGATGATACCACAGCCACGAACCATCTTGCGACAGCGTAATGAAATTCTGCATCATCCTGATGTTGACAGCATCACGGCGCCACTACACCCACACACCATGACGTGGGAACATCATGACGATACACCAGCCACGAACCGTTACACGCGAACAGCATCCACCAGCACCCCAAACATTACCCCTAGCACCCGGTACAACCAAAGCAGCATCCACCCGCCTCAAACTGCATGCCCCTTAGCACCCGGCCGTCAAGCTCGCAAAGCAGCATCCACCAGCACCCCAAACTGCATGCCACTAGCACCCGGCCAGCTCGAAAAACAAAACAGCATCCACCAGCACCCCAAACTGCATGCCCCCAGCACCCAGCCGTCAAGCTCGAAAAACAGCATCCACCAGCACCCGAAACTGCATGCCCCCGAGCACCCGGCCGTCAAGCTCGCCGGCCAGCTCGCAAACCAGCAGCCCCCCACCCGGCCGTCAAGCTCGCAAAGCAGCATCTACCAGCACCCCAAACTGCATGCCCCGTAGCACCCGCAAAGCAGCACCCACCAGCACCCCCAACTGCATAGCACCCGGCCGTCAAGCTTGCAAAACAGCATCCACCAGCACCCCAAACTGCATGCCCCCCAGCACCCGGCCGTCAAGCTCGCAAAGCAGCACCTACCAGCACCCCAAACTGCATGCCCCCTAGCACCCGGCCGTCAAGCTCGCAAAGCAGCATCCACCAGCACCCCAAACTGCATGCCCCCTAGCACCCGGCCGTCAAGCTCGCAAAGCAGCATCCACCAGCACCCCAAACTGCATGCACCCCCCGCATGCCCCCTAGCACCCGGCCGTCAAGCTCGCAAAGCAGCACCCACCAGCACCCCAAACTGCATGCCCCCTAGCAGCCGGCCGTCAAGCTCGCAAAGCAGCATCCACCAGCACCTCAAACTGCATGCCCCCGAGCACCCGGCCGTCAAGCTCGCAAAGCAGCATCCACCAGCACCTCAAACTGCATGCCCCCCAGCACCCGGCCGTCAAGCTCGCAAAGCAGGATCCACTAGCACCCGGCCCTCAATCTCGCAAAGCAGCATCCACCGGCACCTCAAACTGCATGCCCCCTAGCACCCGGCCGTCAAGCTCGCAAAGCAGCATCCACCAGCACCTCAAACTGCATGCCCCCTAGCACCCGGCCCTCAATCTCGCAAATCACTTTCCCTCTTTATTAGAAGTTAGAACCCCTATAGCTTTCAGCTATCTGGGGCAAAAAAATAAATCTAATCCAGGCTTGGATCATTTCTCATGGGTTTTGCTACAAGCCCTCTCAAAATCTGAAACCTGGGATCTACATTGTTACATCTTGGGATTTAGGAGAAAAAAACCAAGTCCGCCCCCCACCCTCCCCCCCCCCCCCGGCCCATTGTTCGCCACTGAAGTGTCCCACCCCAATGGACCTCCACTTTAGCCCCTGCGCAATCGAAAGGAATCTCGCCTACACTCGTTTATAAGCCCCACTGCATGTAAAATAAAAGTTTGAAAACGCCGTTTATATATATATACATATGATTTTCAGCAACACACTCTTCCCACAGCAGCACAACCTTCCCACAACAGTGTAAAAACCCGGCCCGCCCCACGACTGCACGACTGCACGAGCGCGCGCGCGCACGCACGCACGCACGCAGGCAGGCAGGCAGGCAGGCAGGCAGGCAGGCGCGCACACGCGCACACGCACAAACTCACAGGGTGCGCAAACACACGATACACGTGTACAAGAATAGGAATATGAACAATGACATGAACACTTCGCATATCACAACAGACAGGTCCAAAGTCACCCGGTTCGCAGCCCGGTGTCGGGGCCTGGTTTCTTTCCAGCGACTTCTCGAGGCGCAGCACGGGCCGCTGTGGCTGCCAGAGCTCCCAGACCCAAAGCAGGTACTCTAAGGTCTCGTAGGGTCTCTGTCCTCGGCGCAAAACTAAATATGGGAAGAGGACATCTCTCTCTGGGGATACATGTTGTGTTCGATCTGAATTAGTTTTTGTGTTGAATCATTTGTTTGACGCGCATGGCCCTTTCCGCTCATGCCCAACGACCCAGGGCCTTCCATTTCTTGACATCTCTGAGGACTCACCTGGCTGGGCCCCTGCGCCTGCCCCCCCGCCCCTGAGACCCCGAGGCTCGGTAGAGGATGCGCCGTGCCAGCGCGCGGCGCTCGGTCTTCAGGCGCCCGGACTCCAACGTCAGGCGCCGCAGGGCGTCGCCGTGCCGGAAGTTCTCCCCCAGCAGAAACCGGACCTGGCTCCGAGGTCAATGACCAAGCTGTCCAATCTTCGCAAAGCGAGTTGTTTCACTCAAGTTGACCAAAAAACAATTCTGAAAAAGAAAAAAATGCGAGCGTCAAGACTCGCCCGGGAGTCGAGCAGAGGCCAGGATGCTTGGGTGATGGGCCAAAACGTGTTTCCGAGCTATGAAGATGTCAAAAGTCTTGATAAGTATGCGCGGTTCCTGCTTTCTGCTTGCTTGACCAGCAGCGACAAGCATTTGGTGACCCACCACTACCCCTCAGCAACAGAACTTCGAGGGGATCAGTTCGCCAGACCGAGCGCAGTCCGAAGGACGGGATGTGACGCGGTGAGCCTATTTGGTGACAACTGATGGGATTGCCGGATGTGATCCGAAGGGCGGTGAGACAACCAACCTCAACAGTCTGAGTTGTGCATGGTGCAATTCCGGAATCTTGAAAGAGTTGCGAAAACCAAAGCACGGAATCATGTGTGTTGGAAACTACCGTAGATGTGATACAATGTTCCGCAGGTCTACTCCCCGCAACAAATGTCTGGCCGATGCGACAAGATGGTTCCCCAACCGCAGCCCCTGCCTCGTTCCGCAGCGCAAACTCCACGGAGTCGCGCATCTCCTGTGCCCAAGGCTCACATCTACCCCGTCAGCGATTCCTCCCTTCCTGTGATTGCAGTCACCAATAGAAGGTCGACCCCGATTAATCAACCAGTGCATTGAGGGCCGGGGGGCTTGCTCGAATTTGAGGGATTCCTTGAACTGGGGCATCCCCCCACCCAATCATGGGTTAAAACTACTTGGATCATGCCAGCAGGGTTGCTCCTGCTGGCTACACTTAGTCAAGGTCAAAGCAGTTCGGGTAAAGGTAGAAACTGCCTGGTAGCCCAGACATCAGCATTGTGAGGGCCAAGAGGATCTTCTCGCAACACGTCGATCTAACCAAAGCGAAACAAATCACAAACTCCAAACGTGGCCTGCGTTGATATTGTTGCAACGTCAAAGTCAAACCCCAGTACTCAGCAAGCGAAGTCACTGCCTACCGCGCTCTCCTCCTGCTCTCGTCGAATCCTCTCTTCCTTCTCCTGCTGCACAATGTATATGAAGCCCTGGCACGGGAGCAAGATTGCAGGTCTTCCACGCGAAGAAAGGCATCCCCCAACAGCAACAGCCAAAAATTTCAGGCAATTGTTCCCTGAGCAGGGATAGTTACCCAAAGAATTCTCTGAGACAACCCCCAGAACAGTGCCCAGAACCTATCTGAGCCTCCCTGCAAGCTAGGGCCGTTCCAGAATCTGCGCACTTGAGACAAAAGAACGGCACCAAAAGGCCGAATGCAGGGCGCAGAAGTACTGAACATTGAATGCTCCATGCTGTTCCCTTTTCGTGAAAGACTCAGGCCTCAAGAATGCCTATATGTGTGAGAAGCAAGGAGCTGGCGCCTGGAAGGAATAGAACAGATTCTCCTTCTTGTTCTGCAGGAAGAGCCGATCTCTCATCCCCTGACGCGCTTTGTAGATCATCATCTTGGAGGCCCGCACGTGCCGCGCAAAGAGGTCATCCTTGGCCGACAAGCTGAGGATCCCTTCACAGAAATGACTGCAAGCCAAAGCAAGCATGCTTCAAGGGCCCAAGCAATCTGGCTTCTGATGACGACCAAGTGCTCAGCTTCCTACGTCCACTTGAAGGTTGATCAATCTTCCCCCCAAAGCGACCATGACAAACTTTTCCCACCTAGTGAAAGTCATCTCATCCTTTTTTGCATGGTTTCCCACATGGTCCATGCATGCCTCACGGACCTTTTGGATCAACCTCCTGGCAACTTTTGGCCCCGAAAAACCTCCACGGCTCCCGCTCGACTTTTTTGGTCGAGCCGAGGCGCGTAGTCCGCTTGGAGCTCGGCCTCTCTCTCCAGCACCCCATGAAGTGTCCTGAGGCGGATGGGCGACGCGAGGGCGGCGGGTCTGACATCACGAAGACTGGGCTCAGCCGCAAATCTAAGGGGGAAGGTGCATACTTGTTCATACCGGTCGGCTCCTTGGCTTCATACTCTGGTTGTCCCTGACCCCCCTTTTTGGGGAGAGAAGTATGAACATGGCCTTTTGGGTTCATTTGCCCAAGGATTATGTAAAAGGTACAAGCACCCCTGGATTAAAGGGCTTGTGACAGTCTAAGCACTGCAACCTATTGACCTATTGCTTGTACTATGGATGCGCTCTTCCGGAAACATCTTGGCAGTCAACCACATACGTATGCCTGTGGTTCAAAAAATGGTCCCCAAAATGGAACCTTGGCCAATGGAAACAAAGACTAACATGTGCGTATCCTTAGCTCTCAATTTTTGAGCCAAACCAATATTACATGTTGGAATATGTGTGGCTTAGTCCTTGGCCCGAGCAAGACCGCCTTGCGAAAATCTGGCCCTCCGACTTATTCCGAATTGCTTCTTCTGCTAGGAGATCCGGTTGAAGCTGTCTGCCAAATGCACTTTGCCTATCCTCAACACCAGACCCTCAAAGGGGCATGCTCGAAATTCCGCATGGGGAAACAAGCAAGACCCTGTTTTGCGTGCGACAATTCGTGTCTCCCAGTCTTTCAAACATCTGTACTGGGCTGATCGGTGCCGGTTTTGACCGAAGCCCATGCAGCCTGTCCTGGTCTGCTTGTCCAAGCGCTGGATGGCTTCCTCTGCCTGCATCTTGCAGCGTGACCAGTTCCGAAGTCGATCCTGGCAAGAGGCTTTCAGAGACGCGAGCCATGGCTTCCCTTAGGAGTTCTTTTGAAACACATTCCGGCATTCGAGTTGATATTCCTCCCTGTCCTGTCCCTTCACAGTGCAACAAGCAAACTTCGCCCTTTTTCCCCCGGCCAGGCCTCGCTCTCGCAATTTGTCTCGATGAGACGATGCCGGAGATCATTCACCTCGACTAGTATTGCCGGAGGGAAGCCAAAGGGGTTCAAGGTGAAGTCCAACATTGCCAAGGCTGTAGTTGTCATCAAACAACGTGGAGTCACAGTTTTGATCAAGATTGCCTGGTCCGACAAGTTTGTTGGTTGCCACAAGGCATCTTGCCCTGCACTTGCCGGCAGCTATGGCTATTACATCAAGTACCTTGTTTCCGTAAAACACCCAAAATACAACGTCTGCTGAGAAAGGCATCCTGGAGCAGCCCTACCCAATGCTAATGAATTATGCCCTCAGTGTTCTGAGCAGTCTTCTGAATTGAGAATGCCTCTGAAACAGACTCTGGAATCTGCCTATCAAATCGGACAAAACTTGCGCCATTTGCTGAGCTTCACAGACCTTTTCAAAGGACTGGCCAAACCCCTTATGAAAGCCTGCGGCCTGCATAATGTTGTCTGAAGCTCTCCAATTCGCCCGGTAGCTGACTGAAAATGACAGAACATGACCTCACCCAGGCAGCTTAACTGCAATATAACCACAACAAACCAATAAAGCTTCACCCAAAGCTGATACCCTTGCAAATGTCTGATACCGTCCGTTGCGCACCTGACAGTTGCTGTTGAGACAACCCCCCCCCTTTGTGCTCAGCATGGCTGTCACGCACCTCAGTCGTGAGCTGAGAGATCCTCTCGTTGGCCAAGTCCAACTTGCCCTGCAATGCAGCCATCACCTGATAGGATCGAGCGTGCCAGCGTGTGTAGCTTGAATAAAAAGCTAAAGTGGGTCGAAAACTGCGCGTAGCCTCAGCTTGTTGCGTGCCTTATCTTAGACCCGTGATCCCTGATTTGTTCTGCGCCTTCCGTTCACGTTTACACTCTGGAGGTACGGTGTGGGCAAGGGGAGGAATCAGCCTACAAAAAGTCCTCCGGAAATCCCCCGCACTTCGGCCACCAACGAAGTTGTTTTCAGCTGGACGAAATACACTGCTCCGTTAACAAAGGCATGCCGCGCAGCGCAGAAACATTCTGGTGGGCTGTTTTGTTAGAGGAATCATGCCTGCCTCCCAGAATAACGCCGCTTTGCAAAGGAGGGGTGCGAGATGGGGAGATCCTGCACTGTCTGGGATGGGCATTCATGACAGCAGCATCTTTGATCACACGGTTTCTGATTCGGGAGTGACTTCACAAGCATGGACAACGCCCTTAAGCCGACCCCGTGCATTTGGTCGGCGAGCGCACACGGGCCAACGTTTATTGAATGGACCTTGGCTCACCTTGGCTGTTTTCCATCTCCTCCAGTTTCGCGTAAGACAGCCACAAGACCTGGGAAGGATTACATTAAAAGCGTTGCTCGCCTTGAACGCCCCTCTTTCAACAATGTATTGGAAGGCGTTGCAGACAGAGAAGACGCATGAACAATGCAACGGTATTGTTCCTAGCGCCATGCACAGCAGAGCGGAAGAGTATCCAGTTGATGGATCACCAAGTGAAAAGCTGACGTGGTGTATTTACCCTGTCACGTGCTTGGGAACTGAACAATGCCAAATGCCCAAAAACCTGAACGCAAAGCAAAGTGCTGGATCAAAATAAAACCACCAGGGGACCGCAGGCTTGAGTCCTTGGTTCCATTTACCAGGGCACCCTATTTTCAGTATCAACATTTTGACCACAGCTATGGCCTTCTCCGGGGAGCCGTCGCCGCTTTCCAGCAGCAGGTCCTCGTCGATGTCGCCCGCAGAGCCCATGATGACAACGCAGTCCTGGCGAGAAACTGTGCCGCTCGTGGAATGTGGGTGTGGCTCAAAATCAAACAAGAGGCTACGCAAGTTTTGGTCCATATTTCCACTTACCAGGGTTCCATTTGGTACCTTGTGTTTTGAGCCACAGCCATTTAGCATCGGTTATCAGACAGTGCAGTTGGCAACACGGCTTGCTCATATTGTGCTTGTGCGCTGTGGCCATAAGCTTGCTACGCAATGCAATCACCTGCAGCAAATTAGATCAAGGAAGCCGAACGAAAGCTGGCATAGTGTGCGCCTTCAATTTATGTGTGCAAAGTCATTGTTAAGAGCAGTGCATCTTTAAGGGCTGCTTATGTCCTCAAGAAATATAACGACAAAGGTGCCATCCTAAATCCTTCTCCTTTCTGAACGAGCTGCAACAGGATGAATGTAAGGTAAATTGGACACATATCCGCTTGTGTCAGCCATGTTAAGCCTGAAGGCAAAAGAACAGCTTGCACTGGACAAACACAACGGGCAACAATCCTTCATGAGCTCCGGCTGGACTGACATGTAGTAGTACCTCGTGCGTGCGGAGGCAGAGACGCTCGCAGACTGCCGAGGCGTCATTCAAATGTGACTGCCGAGGCACGCCAGGTCAGCTGCATGACCAGCGCGATTCAACTCCTGCACAACCTTGGTGCGGAGGCTTTGCATGGGGAACAACTGGCCAAAGCCATGGCATGTTTTGCATGGATGACAAGCATGGTCTGGTATAGGCTCTAGTCGGCGGGTCCCTGTATCCTACATGTTGGCGCCTAGTGGGCGTGACATGATGCTGTTATTAGTTGAGGCCAAATCCAGCCACACCTAAAGTGCAGCCGCTGGCTGTTCCATCTTCTTCCATGAATGAGCCAAGCAACAAGTTGTTGCTTGAACACCGGAGTCAAAGTTCAATAGGTGTTTCCTTTGTTTCTTGGTACGTGTTTGTGCTCGCTACATCCAAGCCCTGATGACCAGCATAAGGACCAGCATAAGGAAGTTTTGACACCCGGCTGGGGGTCAAAACGATGTACCGAACTGGCACCTTGGCAAATAGAACCAAAGACTAAAGCCTGCGTATCCCCAGGTGTTGAATTTGAGCCACACCCACTTGCACAGGTGTGTTCACCTCACGCACCACTCAAACCATGGAAGGCTTCTGTGTCCTCCACAGCGATTCCGCCTCTGCCGCGTGGCCGTCAGCAGGTGGCTCTTGAGGCGGTCGATGTTCTTTCGCGCCTCGTGGGATGCGAGAGCCGAGGTTGGCTTAACTTTGCATCAACACGTGTACACGGTTCACTCGCTGGGGGTGGAGACGAGGCAGAGGCACAGGGAAAAGGAAGGGAACCAGACGTTGATGTTGCGAGTGTGCAAAAACCACCTCCCTAGTTCTTGCCTTGGGCTTCAGCGCCATCATCTCCGCGTCCTCCTCCTCCTCGTCCTCATCGAGCACATCCTGAGCCGCGGTGTCTGGAACCAACAGTACTGTCAAAGGAAACCAACCTGCAAGTGAACCAAGGGTCTCAGCGCTGATGCGGCCCCCAAAACATTGTTTGCGTTCATTTGCAAATAGGTTTTTGCCTGGTCGGGCAAAGGAACCAACATCTGCCCTCGCCTTTCCTACAAAAGCCAAACGGTTGTGCCGTCACATCGAGCGGCGATTGGCTCATCACCCAGATACTCGTGCCAGTTCCACGGGTCGTAGTGGTTCTCCTTTAGCACCTCAGCCAGAGACGAGGCGAGTTGCAGCGTATCTGAAGCTGCAACCAGTGGATTCCTGCCCTGTTTTCCCCTCTTTTTTGGAAGGGTTCCCCGAAATCGCCCAACCAAAAACGGATGCCCTTTTTCCCCGTGGCCACTGGGCATCTGAAGAAGGGCCATTTACTCACAGGTTGCTTGATTTCCGTTCGCTTTGCTGGGAGCTCTGTAATCCATCATGCTCCGATGCCATAGTAAACGTTCGTGCAAGCAAAGCCACGTCCATGCTCCAAATGCCGACGCGCGCTTCTGTTGCAAAAGGCATAGGTCATTAAACTGGGCTGCAGTCCACAGGGAACGCGTGAACCAGCAAAGCCAACTTGGCCAGTTGCCCCGAATGCCTTGCTTCCCAAGCAGCATTCAGTGCTTGCCGCAGCCTTTCGAAGGCCTCCTGGGAGGGGGAGGGGGGTTGCTTTTGGATTCCCTGTAAAACATCAAGCTGACATGGGCATCCTCAAAAAAAAACACGCTTGCACAGAACATCCTCCAAAACCTCCCTCACACATGCAGCAGCCCGCCTGGGGCGACTCCATGGTGTGCACCATGGCGGGCTGAGAGGAGCTCGGGGGGGGCAAGATTCGCGGAAGCCGTGTGCAGCTTGGCGGGCCGTTGGCTGTCGCCATGGGTTGTCTCTGGTGTGTGGCTGGGTCTGCCCGTTTCCTGGCCAGTATCTCGCTGTCGGCCGCATTTGGCTGGGCATCTGGCTGGTTTTGGGCTGGCTTCCCTGTCTGAGTGCAAGGTAGACGTCTGAAGGCCCCATGTCCAGGGTGGTTTGAGCTGAGGCAGACAAAGACCTGCTTTCAACCAAGAGGCTTGCTTCCACACTCGAGCGCCCCTTCTGTGCGAGATTCGGCAAGGGCAAGCACCACAGCGCACGGCTGCCCCTTATCCACGCTGTGTATTTTAGGTCCAGGAATCATAACCATAGCTGGCATTGGCCAGCCGCATTGCGTTGAGCCCGGGGAGCCTTCGTCTAACCATCATCAAAGGCTTGAGACGAGTTGGCTAAACAACTGTAGCCCATGTATCTCCTGTTTGTCCAAGTTTCAAGTTTGGGACTGCCATTGTCGATGATTGTAGGAACATGTCCACAGCAATCGCCATCATTCCTGTGCTATTTGGTTTGCCGGAAACAACTCGGGGAGATGCGCATCACCAAACATAATCGTTGCCAGTAGTGCAACGAAGAACACTAAAGTCCAGAGTCAAATTCAGAAAGCCAATTCCCTACTTACCTCTCTGTGACGGTAAAAGAGCTGACTCTTGATGTCTGCAGAATCGCCACACGAAGGCTCGCTAGGCTGGCGGCACAGGGTTCGGAACACTTGTACAGAAACCAAGGTCTGCCAAATTGTGCGACATTGGCTGACAGGAGAACAGGGAGATCTCTGCATCACAAGCAGCAGCGAGGTTTTGCACTTCGCCCTACCACTTCATAAAGGTCCAAAACGTCATGCAAAATGCAAATGCTGAATGGTGTGAGGAAACATGCCGAATTTGTCTGGGTGATGTGATGTTTCAGAGCCAGTCCATCGATTGATCTTCCATTTCCGTACCAGCGACTGTGTGTGTGTGCCTCTAAATCCCTGATCTCCAGCTGATAAAAGCCAAAAGAAAAAAAGAAGCATCCGAGGCAAGACGGCGGGCTCACAGGTTCTTGAGATGGCCTGACGCACACTGCTCCTCCACGTCCAGAAGGATCTACCGCACGCCCGGCACCCACCGCCCGGCATGCCAGGTTCAACGAACAAAACGAGACGCTCAAAAAGCCAACGCTCCTTGGCCACTGCCTCGAACTCCTTGCGGGAACGAAGTCTCAAAGGTCAGGAAAGCGATCATGCTGAGCTTGGTTCACGGTTCAAAGCCACCGCAGCTTCAGAAGCATGTATTGAGACTGGCAAGTGTGTCAAGCAAGCAAAACAAGCAAACATCCGGCGTTTGTCGATATCTTTCGCTGTACAGTCCACCAAACCATGGCTGCTGATGTTCAGGTCATATGTGCCTCTACCATCTACACTGTTTCGTTGCCAGGTGAAATGCAAATCAAACGCCCCTGAGCACAAAACATACGTCGGCCTACTGACTCCTCTGGTAGTGTGTTCTAAGTGGATGAGTCGAGGCTGGGTGACAAAATGAGCAATGACTGTGGTGGACAGCTCAGCCCAGCTTCGCTCATGCTCATCACTCAAACCAAACCTCAATCAGCCTTGGCACTGGAGAAGCATCCAAGCTAACACCGGGGAGCTTACGGATACTTACTTGCGGCCACACCATCTGCGCAACCAACTGCAACCCAGATCCCTCAATGAGCAACCGGACGCTTGTCTGGAATGGGGCAGCCCCAAAAAAGGATCCTTGTGGTGAAGCATCCCTCAATGAGCAACAGTACACTCATTGAGGAATGAGGCAGTCCCGATAAGCATTTCTAAGCAGCTGAAGGCCCGGTTGCCTTGCCGCGTGCTTGCGTCAACTCGCCCGCCAACATGGCTGGCAACTCGCTTCAATTCCCGAGAAGAAACAGAGTAATTTGACACCTGGGCAGTCAATCGTAGATGTCCGGTTGTCTTAATTGGTGGAGTTACACACGTTTGCGCTATGGGAATGGCATGGTTGTTGCCTTTGCGGCTGCGCGACTCACAAGATATTGCCAGGGGAAAAATGTGTAGGGGGGATTGTGCTGGATGGTCAACTTGTAAGCTGTGGATTTGACCCTGATTGCCCAAACATATCTGGACGTGGCGGGTTCCTGGATGAATGGCGGATAGTGCCGGACACGTAGATTCACCGGTTTTCCAGCATCAGTTCAGACCTTCCCTAAGCTGCTTGGCTGTTTCCATGAGCCACGCGCTCAATTTGCACAACCCAGCAAATCACTGCCCGCTGGCGTGGGCACGTGTGGTCGCGAGCTTTGCTTGACGAGTGTTGCCCTCCACAAGAGTGATGTGCATGGCTTTGGCTGCTTGGATTATCGGTAGCCAAAAGTTTGATGGTTTATCAGCAAGGGTCCAACTTCTATCTCCGCTGAATGGCAGCTTCATAGCTTCCATGAGCTACATGCCGTGTCCATACAAAGGTGATGAATGTGTACTGAAATCCTGCAGGCATTTCCACAGTGTGTACTCCACGGAAGTCACATAGATTGTAAATCGAGCCCTGCAAACCCAAGCTAGTGACCGCTGCAGGCACTCCTAGTTGAGTCATTCCTATCATGGGACAAGTATCACACGCAAATGGACATCATGTTGAACAATTGACTATGTAGCACTTGTCGCCTGTTGTCTTGGATCCACAATTAAGCCTCTTTCACTGGGGAATAGATTCAGTCAGGTTTCAATACTTTACTTCATCCAGTGTTTGTGCTGGGCCTGTGATGTGGTCAATCAAGGCTCAGCTCTCAAACGGATGATCAAACGGGATTGCCGCATGCTGTTATGTCCGCTGCCGTCGATAAAGCTACACAGGGGTACTCATGAGTTTGTTGAGCGGAGCTTAAGCGGTGATGTCACTAGTCCGTAAGCTTTATTCATTTGAGTCTGTGTGTGTGTGTATGTGCATGTCTGCACTTGTGTGTGTGTGTGTGTCTTTGTGTGCTTGTATGTTTATGTGGTTCCGTGCTTGTGTGTCTGGGTGTTTGTGTTTGTGTGCTCGTGTGTTTGTGTGTGTGTGTTGGTGTGTGTGTGTGTGTGTGTGTCTGTGTGTGCTTGCGTGTTTGTGTGCTTGGGCTTTTGCGTGCTCTGATTCTCCAATCTCATGTTGAGTGGCCAACGGCGCCCTCGTTGCGTCTTTCCGGAGCCACAGCAGGCATTCAGCGCGAGGTCCCGCCTGCTGATGTGGAAGCAGCTTCATGGCCGGGCTTGTGCGGTGTTTTTTGCGCTTTGCAAGGTGATTCATACCTCCTAGGCTCTCGCGAGTCTCGCAACCACTCCGTGAGAGCACACGTGAACTCTGTGTGTGTGTGTGTGCTTGTGCGTGTCTATGTGTCATCTACATATGCGCGTGTATTCGTATGTAGAATAGATGTAATATACATGTGTATATATATATATATATGTATATATATATATATATTGCGGGCCTTCCGTATTAAGACAATACACAGTATATGCAACCACATAGACACATTTGCCAAAATGCACACCAGCATCAAAAGAAAGACTAGTAGAAATGCATAGAAATGCGGCATGATATTCCTGGTTCACTTGCAAGGGGTCTCACAGTTCACTTGAGCCATGCCTATGGCTTCCCAAGACGGTCACGTCATCCAAGAGTCATACCAAAACAACGAGCAATCAGTATCAAGCGCGTGCTGGGCTGTTGCCTTTTGCAAAGCCCTCTCAGCAAATCACGCATTTGATGTCCTCGGCGGTCTCCCTGGCATCTCAAAAACTCAAAACCCGAGTCCTGCCAGCCCTCGTGAACAAGCAGCCACAATAAGCACAGGCAAAGACCATCGAATTCTCGACGAGAACAAGCAACCAAGCACTTTGCCCCATGCGCAGACCGCACCCTGACACGAGGCGAACTGCACAGGCCGCAAAGTAACGCCGCGAGCTTGGCAACTCAGCCTGAGCTCGAGACAGTCTTCTGCAATCCTTTCACACCCAAATCGCTACCTTCAGGATACTAGTTGAAAAAGGCCCTCTGTCAGTTCCCTGCTGCAAGCTGCCAAGATTTGCACACTCGGCACATTCGCATTTTCCGGAGACTGCTCGAATGGACTCCCTGTGGTCACAATATCTTAGGGTCGCATTGCCGGTCGCATGTTGATTGACATTGACTATGATGATTGAAACTCACCGCGGCAGGCTGGCCATGCTGCCAAGTCTCGCCCTGACACCATGTACCCCACCGCGCGTCAAACCTGACGGCTTGCAGCAAACAGGGCATCGGTCTGTTGTTCACACCCTATGTCTTGTCTACAGCTTTCAACACACAAAGTACGTGTTGCCATGCTAAGCCCTTTGGCTGCACAATGGTGTTTCACCGCAAAGTCACACATGCAGCAAAATGAGTTGGTGCTCATGTTCATTCAAAGGCGTGAATCTCATCGCTGAGATTTACCGGCTTGGATCTGGACTCCCTGCCTTGCAAGCCCGGCCACATCTTCGCCCTGCACAGAAGAGCACTGTTCAGAATGGCTTTGCCACAAGTGCACAACCTCGTCTGACTTTCTTGTGCAATGAGACACCATGTTCATTCCAACTCGATGCCGGGCATACCTTTTTTGGTGTGACCAGCCCCTTCGTCCAGGTGCAGCTAGTCAGGGTGCAGTCTGTTAGCTGCGTATGGCTCTGAGCTGGCCATCCTGTTAAAGTTCGTTACCCGAAAAAAGACCGACCATCGACAACATTCTCACCGGACACACTGACACCATCGGTGGCGTGGTCATTTTGCTCACGCCAACCGACGGGTTCGAGCGCCTGATATACAAACCCGGCCCAGTTCCGGTTTGTCTTCTCCATTCCAAAACAGCCTTTGCCATGGCCAGCTTCTACTGCAACATCATCCTGGCTGATGCTGAATTTGGATGCCAGGTGACATAGTCACGTGACGGGCATTGGCAATGGTGTGAGGGAAGACATGTCTATTGCAACTGGCCATGTGGGATTCAAAATGCCAGGATACGGCAAACTGGGCCCACTCTTTGAAGCACCTTCGACGCAGACATTTGCAGTTTCCATTCCGAATTGAGCGTTGCGCGCCATGTCCCCACACCTGACGCAAACAAGTAGAGCCTTTTGGTATGCGTGTTGAAGCTGCCCCGCGAGTTTCGGCTTCAGCGCCTCCAGAATAGCATTTTAGCCCCCCACCCCCCCGGCTGGAAGGGGCCCCTCCATGCCGTACGCTTTCCGTGTCTGTACATCATGGCCTTTGCCAAGCGACTCATTCCAATTGCAGAGCTGCGGGGCGGGAAAAGTCGGCAAAGCCCCGGTCGACATTCGCGAAAGGAATCACAGCGCTACTCCTTCGAGGTGGCCCTGAGATAAAAATTCTGGCCTGCATGACCATTGCACAATGCGTCAACGACTTCGGGCTCGACGTCTTTGCTGCAACCATCTATTGCTGGTTCCTTCAGTGGCTTCGCGGTTTGGCCTACTGCTAGAAAGTCTTACTTGCTTGCCTGCCTCATTCCGCCAAATGCGAGTGTGTTACTTGGTGAGCTTACCTTCCACTGCTCTCTCCTTGGCCGAGGGCAATTTGTGGGACTATCAAGCGCTTTGCGCTCCAGAGGTCCAAAAAGGTTGCTCCCAGACGTCTGTGCAGCCTGATAGAAAAACGTAACTGCAACGTTGTTTTGCCACTTTCATAACAATTCCTGCCAAAACACCGTATGGTCGCCCTTGCGGTTGCTTCCAAAGAAGAATGCCCTGAGGTCACAAAACGGAAGCCTGTGGCAAGTGAACTTGCAATTGGACAGCAATTTCGCCAACTGCCGCAGCGCCCATCCAGCGGCGATATGTATCCCCAGGTCAAGGGCTCCCATTAAACACTTTGAGCTTCAAACAGTTCGACCTGTCACAAGTCGCCATGCCTGCAGCACGGACTTTGGCTAGGAAAAACAAGTAATGGGGGGGCTGAAAATGAAGTTGAGGGTAACACCTCCCCATGACCGATTTGATTGATGCATCGAAGCACATGGCTCGTGGCCGCGGCAGCTCAGCTGGGCGCAATCAGCCAAGAGCAACAGCACATCGTCTTCCATCAGCTCCTGATCCGGAGCGACAGACGCTTTCCAAAACACGGGATAACGACGGCCCCAGCAAAAGGGCGTGGCTCACGCAACCTGCCGTTGGTTCTGCCCGGTAAGTGGGAGAGATGAATGGAAACACGACCCAAAACCTCAAGTTAGAACCCCAATGCTTCGCTGTTTGGGGAAAAATGTTGGCTTGCAATGCAAACAGAGCGCCCTTGGTGCTTTGTCTCGCTCTCTCTCGCTCTCTCTCTCTCTCTCTCGCTCTCTCTCTCTCTCTCTCTCTCTCGCTCTCTCTCTCTCTCACTCTCTCGCTCTCTCACTCTCTCGCTCTCTCGCTCTCTCTATCTATTGCCCTCACTTGCTCCATACTGTCTGGTTTAGTGCCCAAACTGTTGGCGCTCTTCGACTCATGGCAGCATTGCCGCTGAGCGGATCTTCATGCGCCTTTCCCAGGCAACGACTGCTGGCCGTGTGTGTGTGTGTGTGGGTTTTTCCTTCCGCACATCTGTTCTCTCGGGTTGCCAAATCTGATGTTGACACTTCCCAACCCGGTCCACTTGCATTCAAGAATCTCATCTGGAAGGTCAACGTCGATGGGTAGATCTGTGAGGTCATCCTACAAGGCGTCAAGGCTGCAGTACATGAAAGCTCATTGCTTGTACTGAATACGACCATGTTTCCACCGTCCTTCGCAACGGATCATTTCGGGCCGCTCACTTATGCCATAAAACCTTTGTGAGCCGACGGGTGGTCGATCCCGAGATCCGATCCGGAGCCGAGCAGGCCTCCGGAAGGTCATTGAGGGCAGCCACAAAGCGCCGCGCGTACAAAATCAAGTCGCTGCTGGCCTCCTGACGCGCGCTGCTTCGCTTCGCTTCGACTTGTCTCAACATCGGACCCCAAAACCGTTCAGTTGTCCTGTCCTTTTTTCCCGTTTCCCCCAAAAAAGCGAACCTCAAAACGGCACGCAAAGAAAAAACACAACCTATGTGGATTCAAGGTTGGCCACAATCAGCTCACTTTGGCGCTCTCCTTATGCAGGTTGACTGCCGCCAAGAGCTTCTGGTAGCTGAGGCAAATCAAAGCCGATGGGCTCCGGCTCCTCGCCTTGCCCATGAATTGCCAGTGCACCCAAAGACCTTAGCTTCAGCTTCCCTCGCCTCTTGCGCCATCCGTCGCAACGCAGGTCCTGCCGTTGAAACTCAAGGCTTCTTAAAAATTCATCAGCTCACCGCACAAAAATTTGGCGCTTGGCCATTTCTGTTCCCAGGCCCAAGGTCTTACCCGCCAAGACCTTTGCTTGCTTCCTGCGTGCAAAGCGGCTACGAGTGAAAATTATGAAGAACTTCACTCTCCTGTGTCCGCTGGCTTGCAGCCCACTCTTAGGCAAGGAACAAGCCTCCGCCAGCCAGTCACCAGGATGCAGTACTGCATCTGGGTCACCTGCGCAGGCTTCACCTTTCTGATCCGAAAGCCAAGCCATTGGACGAAGCTAACCGCAAAGAATCCGACCTTCTGAAATGCCTTCGGTGTTTTGCGAAGTTGCTACCTCGTACTGCACACTGTTGGTCAATATGGGGGGTGCAAGTCCTCTAGTGTTGGAAAGCAGCAATGTTGCATGGACACGGTGACACTTGCGAATTCGCTTGTCTACTGGACCAACGAGCCTTCAGCTTCCTTGCTCATTCGCGTCTGGACGAAGGATGTCAGCGTCAACACTTCTCTTGAGCGCTTCGGAGATTCCACCGGCTGCACCTGCGCTCAATGCCCGCATTACTGAGCCATATCAGTCATGTTAAGCAATTATTCCATTTAGGTGCTCAATTCCAAGCGAGCCGGAATCCCTGGCTGTTGAATTCAAGAGCTGACAGACGCGAACGAGAAAACACGTGTCAGGCAATCCTGGCAAAGGTCCATGGTGCGGTACTCGACGGAGCCATGGGACAGCATCAGCATGCTGTCACACTTGGTCCCAGCAGAGAAGAGTGTCTCGTGAGCTCCCACGTTCCAGTCCAACAGGCACTGGATGCCTCAGAAAATTGACACGGGGTAGAGGATGCAACAGAACTCATTCTGTGCATAGCGCCAGGAAACTGGCAAGCAAAGATATGCCACGTAAGATTTACCTGCGTTCAACCCATGCCTATGCAATCGGGTGTCATGTCTTGGGGCACATAAACCAATCCCTTTGACTTGTCTCCCTGTCCAGCTGCAGAGGTCGTACTGGAAGGAGCGATGCCGCATCATGAGACCATGCAGAAAGGTGTGCTTGGCCCACACGGGCGTCAATGCCTGAGGAGCTTCGAAAATCCATATGTTGCTTTCGGTAGAAAGAAATACGCCTCTCATGGCCAGTTCAACGCCAAGCCTCGTGCTCTGAGGGCCATTCAAGCAAGCTGCTGTCTAGATTCTTCGTTTTTCGCACAATCAGCTTAGCACTGGTAGCATCCAGTGCTATTATAACGTGAATATGACGAGCTAGATCTTTGCTGCTTGCCTTTTGAAAGGGTTTCTCTGGATCGTGCCCTGCCCCGACGCAGAGCCTCACGGCAAAGCTCGCGGTACATAAAGTCCGGAAGCATGCAGGATAAGTCCTGGATAATGCGAATCAATGACGAGAATTGATTTGGTACCCATGAGTCTCGTTGGTTCGTGGCAAAAGACTCGAGTAGACATTGATACACGAATATACTGCGATGTAATATCCTCATTGGGGTTGCTATGTGTTGCTTTGATACAAATGTACATGCCAATATGTGTATACATAAAAATATGTATATGCATAGGCACAAACAGGGTAAGTGGTTTGAGGGTGTGTTGGTGCCCGTACGCGTTCCTATTAATACGATCAGTTTTACATCTCCACTAGCCATTGTTCGCCGTTTGACCATTGTTATTTTTATTGCCTGACCAGAACCACAACGGCGCTCATCAGTATCTGCCTTGCACAGGCCCGTGTCGCGTCGACATGGGAAAGCCGCTAGCACAAACCAGATCATAATAGCAACGAAAATGCCAACTTGAGAAAGCAGGGACCCGAAGCAAAGGGGTCACGGCAAGAACCAAGCAGCACGTCAATCATGCTATATAAAGCTGACGGAAGATGGCACTTGCAGCAGTGGAGCTAGGCGCCTTCTGCGCACGCTTCCCAATCCGAATCTTTCTAAAACCCTCAACCTGCGCTTCAACAGTCCACAAAAGCAACGGGAAAACTCGGCGCGGCGGTGGTGGTGGTGGTGCCGCCGCCGCCGCTGCCGCTGCTGCTGCTGTTGTGGTGGTGCTGTCTGCTTGGTGCGACTGAAGGCTGCAATGCTGACACACCCAGGAACTACATGGTTGCCTCTTCGCGAGTTTCCCAGCACTGCCAAACAAATCATCGAGACTTCCCCAATCATCCATCCGCTCAGCGACCAGCCGCCTACCGAGAAACAGCAACAGCAACAGCAAAACCAACAGCCACAGCCACACCAACAGCAACAGAAACAAATACAGCAACAGCAACAGCAACAGCGACGACGACAACGACAACAACAACAACAACAACAACAACGACAACGACAACGACAACGACAACGACAGCGACAGCGACAACGACAACGACAACGACAACGACAACGACAACGACAACGACAAGGACAAGGACAAGGACAAGGACAAGGACAAGGACAAGAACAAGAACAAGGACAAGAACAAGAACAAGGACAAGAACAAGAACAAGGACAAGAACAAGGACAAGAACAAGAACAACAACGAGAACAAGAACAAGAACAACAAGAAGAACAAGAAGAACAAGAAGAACAAGAAGAACAAGAAGAACAAGAAGAACAAGAAGAACAAGAAGAACAAGAAGAACAAGAAGAACAAGAAGAACAAGAAGAACAAGAAGAACAAGAACAACAAGAACAAGAAGAACAAGAAGAACAAGAAGAACAACAACAACAACAACAACAACAACAACAACAACAACAACAACAACAACAACAACAACAACAACAACAACAACAACAACAAAAACAACAACAGCCAGCAGCAGCAGCAGCAGCAGCAACAACAACAACAACAACAACAACAACAACAACAACAACAACAACAACAAACAACAACAACAACAACAGCAACAACAACAACAACAACAACAACAACAACAACAACAACAAACAACCACAACCACAACACAACCACAACCACAACCACAACCACAACCCACAACCACAACCACAACCACAGCCACGATGACGAGAAGACGACGATGACCACAAGCACAGTAAACAAAGCGCGCTACGCTGAAACCCGCGACGGGCGAAACGAAATAGGACGAAGAATCGCGGCCCCTGCTCGAATCATCTACGCGCCTCCGTGAGACTTTTCACAATCCAGCGGCAGCCGCGCGCAGCTCTCCAGCGCAAGAGTCAGTCCACACAGGCACGGACGGCTCTTTGGAACGCTGCGCAAACGCACTTGCCTGCTGGGGGTCTTGGCAAGGGTCTACGAGATGCACTTGGCACGCTGGACCATGTCGAGCAAAAAACCTCCTTGTTTGTCGCGCGAGGTCTCGGCCATCCCTTTTGTCTTGTAGGGCCTCAGCCCCCAAGACCTTCCAAATGGGCAGAGGCGCCTGACTTTTCTCTTTGTACGCTACTGCTCCTTACGCCATTGCCCCACACACGCACTGTGAGAAGCTTTTCAGCCTCTCAGGGGAAAATGAGTTTTGCTGTGGGGCTCCAAATCCTGCGCGCAGAGCTTCGTTGGTGAGCTGCGCGAAAGCTCCCCAAGCGCCCTGCCTCTCACAAGGCTTTTGGCCTCAAGCTGTCTCACACACACGAAGCACTTGGGAAGGTGTAGGCTCCGTTCAGCCTGCTTTCGCACAAACCCCAAAGAGAAAGCGCGCCAGGAAACTGCCAATCGGCATTGGGGCAAAACTCTGCTCTGCGTCTGGCCCCGCGGCTCTTTCGAACCTGGGGCAGAAACCTTATGACTGGCAAGTCGAATGATACCGCCGCTCTGTCGAATCTAGGGCAAAACTCCTACAACACGCAACGGCATGTCAGCCCCAAGCTGCAGCGCTAGTGCCCAAAGCGACTGGCAAGCCGAAAGTGGCCCCCGAACGAAACAAGAGAAACAAAGCTGGTCCCAAGCTGCATCGCCTGCCCGTGGCGACCGCCGCCGTCGAACAAGACAACACAAAACAAGACCCGCCGACCCTTTCTCTAAAAAGGGGAGGCGCACGGGAAGGGTGGTTGGCGCCTAAGTATAACCAAAGTTTCATCCTCATCAGCATCAGCAGCTACGATGATTGTTATCATCACAGTCATCGTCATCATCATCATCCTTATCATCATCTCTTTCCTATTCTCTTATCCTTATCATCATTATCATCATGGTCGTCGTCATCTCTTATCAAACAGCATTGGTGATGCAGAGGATGCTAAGATGAAAGTTATCATCACAGCCAAGGATGCTACGATGATCATTATCCGCGGGTGATAACGATCATCACGCCCGTGCCATTATCATCATGGTCGTCGTCATCTCTTATCACGCAGCATTGGTGATGCAGAGGATGCTGCGGTGATAGTTATCATCACAGCCGTTAGTGATGCTAAGGATGCTACGATGATAGTTATCATCCTTGTCATCATCTTTATCATCATCTGATCATCACCTAGCATCATCTAATATCTTATTATATATATAGAAATCTAAAGGGACGTTAGACATCCTTGGAAATGCAGAGGATGCGATGATGATAGTTATCCAGGAACCAGTTGAGACGCAGAGGATGTTGTGATGATAGTTGTCATGACGCGAAGGATAACGATCATCACGCCCGTGCCACTATCATCGTGGTCGTCGTCATCTCTTGTCACGCAGCATTGGTGATGCAGAGGGTGCTGCGGTGATAGTTATCATCACAGCCGTTAGTGATGCTAAGGATGCTACGATGATAGTTATCAACCTTGTCATCATCTTTATCATCATCTGATCATCACCTAGCATCATCTAATATCTTATTATATATATAGAAATCTAAAGGGACGTTAGACATCCTTGGCAATGCAGAGGATGCGATGATGATAGTTATCCAGGAACCAGTTGAGACGCAGAGGATGTTGCGATGATAGTTGTCATGACGCGAAGGATAACGATCATCACGCCCGTGCCAGTATCATCACGGTTGTCAGGCAGCATTGGTGATGCAGAGGATGCTGCAATGATAGTTATCATCACAGCCGTTAGTGATGCTAATGATGCTACGATGATAGTTATCATCCTTGTCATCATCTTTATCATCATCTGATCATCACCTAGCATCATCCAATATCTTATTACATATAGGAATCAAAAGGGACGTTAGACATTCTTGGCAATGCAGAGGACGCTGATGATAGTTATCCAGGAACCAGTAGAGACGCAGAGGAGGTTGCGCTGATAGTTGTCATGTCTCGGATGATAACGAGCATCATGCCCGTGCCATTATCATCATGGTCGTCGTCATCTCTGATCACGCAGCATTGGTGATGCTGCGATGATGGTTAGCATCACAGCCGTTAGTGATGCTAAGGATGCTACGATGATAGTTATCAACCTTGTCATCATCTTTATCATCATCTGATCATCAGCTAGCATCATCCAATATCTTATTATATATATAGAAATCTAAAGGGACGTTAGACATCCTTGGCAATGCAAAGGATGCGATGATGATAGTTGTCAAGGAACAAGTACTGGTGCAGAGGATGTTGTGATGATAGTTGTCATGACGCGGATGGTAACGACCAACACGCCCGTGCCATTATCATCATGGTCGTCGTCCTCTCTTGTCACGCAGCATTGGTGATGCAGAGGATGCTGCGATGATAGTCATCAGCACAGCCGTTAGTGATGACGATGATAGCTATCATCCTTGTCATCATCTTTATCGTCATCTGATCATCACCTAGCATCATGTTAGACATCCTTGGCAATGCAAAGGATGCGATGATGATAGTTATCAAGGAACAAGCAGTGATGCAGAGGATGATGTGATGATAGTTGTCAAGACGCGGATGACAACGATCATCACGCCCGTGCCATTATCATCGTGGTCGTTGCCATCTCTTGTCACGCAGCATTGGTGATGCAGAGGATGCTGCGATGATAGTCATCATCACAGCCGTTAGTGATGCTAAGGATGCTAGGATGATAGCTATCATCCTTGTCATCATCTTTATCGTCATCTGATCATCACCTAGCATCATGTTAGACATCCTTGGCAATGCAAAGGATGCGATGATGATAGTTTTCAAGGAACAAGTAGTGATGCAGAGGATGTTGTGATGATAGTTGTCAGGACGCGGATGATAACGATCATCACGCCCGTGCCATTATCATCGTGGTCGTTGCCATCTCTTGTCACGCAGCATTGGTGATGCAGAGGATGCTGCGATGATAGTCATCATCACAGCCGTTAGTGATGCTAAGGATGCTACGATGATAGTTATCATCCTTGTCATCATCTTTATCATCATCTGACCATCACCTAGCGCCATCTAATATCTTATTGAATATAGAAATCAAAAGGGACGTTAGACATCCTTGGCAATGCAAAGGATGC